GAGGACTTCAGGTCCTCCAAACAGAATTGGACAACTATATAGAGTGGACATAGCCACTGTCCAGAAGGTCCGCTGGGTGGACAGCGGTCTTATTGAGAAGAAGAACCACACCACCTATAATAGCTGCCACGGAAAGAATCATACGTTCGGAACTGGATTCATAGTAAGAGGGCGAATGAGACACTAAGTTATTGTATTCTCTCCCATTAATGAACGACTTTGCACTCTTCATATCAAAGGAGTGTTTTATAATTACAGCCATATCAGCTGTCATGCTCCTACCGAAATATCGAGTGAAGAGGAGAAGGAGAACTTCTACCACACATTAGAAAGAGGTCATGGCGTGTACCATAGGAGTGACATAAAGATCCTGTTGGAGGATTTCAATGCTGAAATCGGGAAGGAAGAAATATACATACCAACCATTGGCCACCACAGGATCCATGAAGAGTGTAATGACAATAGGAAAAGAGTTGTAAATTTTGCTGCAACTCGAAACATGATTATAGGAAGCACAGTATTTCTGGGACGACGAATCCATAAGGTCACAAGGAAATCATCTGATGGAAGTACATTCAATCAGATAGACCATCTGCTACTTAGTGCGCGACATAGATCTAATAAGCAATAAGGATATATGGGTGCAAATGTAGGCTCTGACCACTATTTGATCATTGCTCGGATTAGGACGAGAATCTATAATGCAAAGATATGTAAATCAGCAGACAAAAAAAGAGGTGGAATATAATGAAACCGAAGAACAGAACGATTCAAGAAATAATTCATGAGTATAAAATTCCCACCCATCATTGGCTTATTGACTTCAAGAGCGTCTACGATACCATAACTAGATACAAGTTGTATGAAGCAATGGAAGAACTAAACAACCCCTCTAAACTAATTCGTCTGGTAAAAATGAAAGTGCAGGACGTACAGTGCCGAGTACGCACTCATTTGGAATGTTCCTTGGAGTTTCCCACCAATACAGGACTGAGACAAGATGATACTTTGGCATGTTTATTGTTTAATTTGGCTCTGGAGAAGGTGGTGAGGAACTCTGGCATTCAGTTTTTACAACAGTTTCCCGATATAACGACATTACACGATATAACAGTTTACAATTTCACGATATTTACAAATATGGTGCAACTGTTAGGTTATGCTGACGACATTGATATTGTTGGACGGTCCTTTGCAGCTCTCGAAGGTGCCTTTCTTGAATTGCAAAAAGCTGCAGCTAAGATGGGGCTCTACATTAATGTGAATAAAACCAAATATATGTATCCATGAGAAGGAGAGAATCCCCAAAACCAAAGAATATCTCTAGGCCATTACACCTTTGAGAATGTCCGATAGTTCTCTTATTTGGTATCTCAAATTACGACGAGGAATGATACAACACTTGAAATAAAGCGGAGAATAGCAGCTTCCAGCCGATGCTATTTTGGCTTACTGAAGCACATGAGAGGCTCATTACTTAGTAGACGTACGAAGCTGCAATAAAATTGGGAAGGTTAAGTTGTGCAGGACAAATAGCTCGGATGGAGAGGTCTGAAATTCCGATAAGAATACTTGAAGAACCATTACACCATAAAAGGAGAGCTGGCAGAACGAAATTGAGGTGGGTGGATGGTGTTACAGGTGACGCGAGAGACTGGATGAGAGTCAGGAATTGAAAAGTGGCCGCACAGAATAGAGAAATTTGTGCGAAAGCTCATCGAGGAGGCCAGGACCAACTAAGGGTCGTAAAGCCATTAGGATTTATATATAATGTCATGTTTTACAATCATAAGCATATGCAGCCATGTGGCTGTAGTTACTATTACAATTGTGTATTTTTTTAAATTACACTACTGATTACGATTATATTTGTTGTTGTTAAATCTTTTACATTTTTTTTCCTGTCATAACCACCCTTCTCTACTTCTGCTTAACTTGGGCTATAGTTATCCAGTTTTCTGGCAGGCAGCTCTGTTGATTAGATCTATCCATATGATTTTTATCCTACATGGCTGTCTACTTTTGAGGCATTGATTACAGGGATCCCATCCTTTACATCATCTATACCGCTGACATTCCCTTCCATCCCGATACACTCCTGACAACTTTCGCTGACGACACTGCGATCCTGTCTTCTAACTCAGATCCTGAAACAGCGTCCAGAAACCTGCAACGGCACCTATCCTTGATTGAACACTGGTGCAAGAAATGGCGCATCAAAGTCAATGAATCCAAATGTAAACATATAACCTTCACCCTTCGTAGTCATTCCTGTCCACCAGTTTAGTTTACTTTAATACCATCCAGCTTCCCTTCTGCGACACAGTCCGGTACCTTGGTTTTCTCCTAGACAGACGACTAACGTGGAATCCACATACTAGACTGAAAAGACAGGAACTTAACCGACGTTATGGCCAGCTATATAGACTACTTAATAGAAAATCTAAACTTTCTATTGAAAACAAACTACTGATCTACAAGACAATATTAAAACCCATGTGGATCTACGGACTAGAACTGTGGGGGACAACCAAATTTTCTAACATCAAACGCATTCAATCCTTCCAGTCCAAAGTCCTCCGTACAATAGTCGATGCTCCCTTCTATGTCTCTAATAAAACCCTGCATAATGACCTTAATATTCCATTTATTCTTGATCTTATCCCAGACAAATTCTCCAAATTTCATCAGAACCTTACCCATCATCCTAATCCCGTAGCACAATCCCTATCTAGCACCACTCATCCCTACAATCCTCCTCGCAGGCTGAAACGGCAGTGGCCCTGTGACCGTTTGTAACATGTATATACTGGAGTTCTGGCAATGGCCAGATTCTCCACTCAAGTAATGAGTGTCCGTGGTTGTAGCGCCCTTACTCAATCTCCGCTGGCTTTCAATGCCAGTGAAATGGTTGAGAAAGAAGCGCAGGGATCTCCTGAAGCCTTGCTTTCCCTCCACGTGTGGGGGGATAAGTATGGTTCGGAGTTCCTATGGCCGACTGTAAATAGTGTAAATAGGTATGCCTGCGTCTAAGATGTTTATTTTCATTACTTTTTTTTTTTCTCACTATGATATTTTGTTTTGTTCTTTTGTAGCTTTATATTATTTGAAGTTAGCTTATTTTTTTTTTAAATTTGTAAATATGATGTGAATGTGCTCTCAGAACTCTATTATAAATGTCCTTTATTGAGACAGATTTTAATATTTATCAATAAACAAAAAAAAAAAAAAAAAAAAAAAAAAAAAACTTCAGCTTCCACTGATTTTAAGAGGAGAGCCATAAAATATCTTGGGAAGAGGAGGGGAGGGGTTGACACCTCTGGGTAAGAATTCAAAACCTCTGGAGACATAAAAGATCCAATGGAGTTGTTATTACTGAAGCAGATTCAGAAATTTTGAAGAAAGTTTCCCAAATAGATTTCCCAAATAAGGACTGCATTAGGATATTTTAAATTAATAAGAATAAGAAAGGAACCAGCTGTACACTGTCAGCATTCTAAAGGATTAAACAGAAGGAGCAATGGCTAATATGTAATTATGATATAGAGTCTGAAGAGATATCTTAGCCAAATTCATAGAAGAGGAAAATGAAAATATCTTCAGATCCTATTCCAAAAAAAAAAAAAAAAAAACGGGATGAAAAAGAATTTCAAAGTAAATGAAATATAATATTATCATCCTGATCCAACAGGAAGGTAACCGAAGTGGGAGTTACAACTGACCTATCTGCCTATCAATTATATACCTGGAGTCTTGAAAAAAAAACTGGTGCAAATAGAGGATGATTTGAAACAGGAATGAACCTGCTTACTGAAAAGGTATTAAATTTCTATACAGGAATCATAAAAAAAAGGATAGAAATCAAAAGAAAAAATTCAGGACATACAATCTATCATCAGAGTTGTTTAAGGATAGGGAGAACAAATAACAGCCAACTATTATAAATAAACCAGAAAATATGGGAACAGAAAAGATTACCAGTGAGTTGCTAAGAATCTAGTAAGAGAAGTCGAGCTTATCAGCCAACAAATAAATAAGGATAACACATAATATATAAGTTGATGGAGAATTGTTTCTAAGAGTAGATAAATCCAAATACATTGGCTCAACAATAACCTAAATAAAAGACCAACACGAGACTATCAGATATAGTCTATAGACTATATCAGATAGAGGTTGGTCAGAACCAAGCCAGTTCTGACATAGGGCAAAGAGACAGGCACTCAAACCAAAATCCAAGAAAGAATAATCAAAACATTTAATAGGAAAGTTACCTGCAGGATAATCCAAGCCATCTAGGATTAGATTACTAACACATTGAGAAGGACCAATAAACCAGAGTTAAAATAGAATCAACAAACAAGCTGGATATTAACCAAGACTTGACAGAGGTGATGGTTAATATTCATTGGCAGTTCAAATGGCCTAAGATCTAAAAGGTCAGTAAACTCAACACAAAAAATGCTTGATTTAAGAAATACTATTTGTATGCAGTGATAAGACAACCTTCTACTTTGAAAATTTATCTTTATCCTTAATCATGAGTGATAAAGTCAGGATGCAGTCAGTATGAATTTTTTTTAATTTGAGCCAACGTTTCAACCCAAGCATGTGGGTCATCATGGAATTTTCCGTGCTCTCACCCATGATATGTAGAACAGTCGACTAGCTTCCGTCAACTTTATCCTTAATATATGTTGGCAATCAACGATAATATTTTTGGAAGGATAATATCATACAGTTGAAAGGATTGAATCTGTACTGATGAAGCTACCTGTTGAATCATACTGAACAGGAACCTGATAAGATATATCATAAATATATCATTGATATAATCATATTTTAAATATAGAGGGATTAAAAGGGCTTATGGGTAAAACCATCAATAACATAACATTGTAAAACATATTTTGTAGGATGTTAAAAAGAATGTTTGCTAATAAACTAAAGCAATTACACAATCATAACATGAACATTTATTTATTCCAACTTTAAATAAATTAATCCACTTCATAGGATATAGATAAAGAATGTATGCGGCTTTAACTTTTTATTGAAACAAAATAAATAAAATAGACATAATCTAAAGTTAAAATAAGTCATAAATTAATGTAAGCCTTATTTAAATGGAAAAACAAAAGAATTTTAATTCATTTCCCAAATAAACCTGAACATTATTGATATAACAAAGATAAATAATACTATTTATAAGAGTAGAATGAAATATTACAAAGTTATTTACAAATCCTATTTTTTTCTTTCACATTCTTAACAGTTCAGTATCTAAGATTGAAAAATACTCAATATTATATTATAAACCATGCAAATATAAAAATCTACTTTCAACAGTCAAATGCTTGATATCTATTTTCCATTTAATAGAAGCATTATCAAATCCCAACAGGTTAATGATCAATTTGAAAATTGTAAAGTAATGTTTTTTAATCAATTTCTTTATTTAAGTGGGGAAAATGGTTTACTGATGAATAATGGTTATATATAACTTGTGGACAGATTATATATTTCATTCAAGCAAAAATTTTAATATTAAAAATATGAACTACATCACATTCTAAATGGGGAAGAAATTATGTTAATTGATTTCCAAACCTGACAGTGTTTTGTTTTTATAAGCAAAAATACCATAGAATAATAATGGCTTCAAAATTAATTTTATAAACTGTCTAAGTTGAATAAAAAAATGTTTAGCAGGAACTTGTCCATTAATAAGTTTCAAAAAAAGTATATGCACATTAATTAAATGACCTAGGAATTTATATAAAGCATAAATGCACATACAATATTAAAACTAATTAAAGAAAACATGACTTCATTCAAAAAAATGCTTATGCTACTAAGCCTAACCAATTTTAACACATACTACATCAACAAAATTCAGGAAATGCTTAAATTAATATAAATATTATTTAAAAATAACATAAGACATTTTGATAAAACTAGTAATACATCAGATGACATCCATTATAACATAAGTAGGTAAGAAGAGGGTAGGGTACAAGGGCATGAATGTTTATAAAATAAAACAAAAACATTAATAGCAACTTATGCCAGGCTTGTAATTTAATTACTTGTCATGTCTTTATATTGAATATAAAATATATTATATATAACAATAACAAATCAGTCCTATGCTATACCAAAGAATGTTTAACTGTAACAGGTATTGGCCATACAATCAAATAAGAAAAGATATAAAATTATTTGTATAAGGAATACATTGCTTCACAATTCTATCTTAGATCGGGGAGTCACTATTTAAAAGTTATCGGATTTCTTTCATTAATCACAGTACTCATTATTGTTCAAAGGAAATATTCAGCCTGAGGTTTCTTTGATGGAATACCTCTCGAATCTTGTGGAGCAGCTTCGAAGATAGTGAAGTCTCTCTGCAGGTGCTCATTCAATTCTAAAATAGCAGCAACATTCCCACACCTGAAAGAAAATTGTTTTTTGAAGAAAAAATTTAGTGATACAATAATTTTAACATCATAACCGATCAGGTTAATTTGGAAATGAGATAAATCATATCACACCATTGTTTTCCCAAAATAACCAAAAAGATGCCTGCATATCTCAGAAATAAGGAAAAGTAATTTTGTAATGGAGGAGGCGGTGTTTATGCAAGATGTTTCTAAATGTCAGAACCTGTGGGAAAGCTAGAAAGTAACTTTTATAGCGAAGTAAAAGCAGTTTTTCTAGTGTTAGAACTAATAAAAATGGCTAAATCGGAAAAAGTTGTGGCCTTCCTGCTGTACCATATCACAAATCAAATTAGTATGTGCCAGGAGTTGATTGAGGAGCTGATTATAGAAGGCACAGATGTCGTTCTACAGCGGATACCAGGACATTGAGGGTTGACAGGTAATGAAAATGCTGACCAGTTATCAAAAGAAGGTACTGGAAAAGATCAGCGAGCTATGCTAATCCCTTTCTTCAGAGAAGCTAATCAAAACATTAATCACTGAAGAATTGGAACAGAAACAGCAGTTGGAGTTGAAAGAGAAGTAATGGACTTCATTACTAGAAGAAAATGGAAGTGCCAGTGGATCTTCCTCGAAGTTGTACAATTATTGGACAACTTGCATTGTATTGGAGTTGTGTTGGAAATGTGAACTAAATTTATCTAAACTGGCCTTGTCATTTTAAGTACTGATGATACAGTATGTTGTGATAATTTTTTAAAAAAATATCTTCATAATAAAACATATTCACGATGTTCAGCAATATAGCATCGAAAAAATGAAGCATAAATCAAGGATCTCAAGGATGTAAACTGTAAAATCAAATTTTCATCAGTTATTAAATTAAAAAAAAAATGTTATTATTGGTTGGATTTGATATAAAGTACAATTGGAACTTGAGAAGGAATTTGAATAATTATAAATGCTGTATCGCTGTTTGATCATGAAAAACTATTCTAAACTTTTCACATGAAGGTTCAATGCTTAAAAAAAAAGAAAGAATAAAAGCAAATACAATTAAATTAATATAATAATATTTTCTTTTTGTACGATTTATTGTTATAATTTCATATCACAATGAAAATTTATTTTGAGACAAAGTCTCAGATGATTGGTTGGCTTAACTAGAACATAAATAAATATATTAAATAAAAGTAATAACATGATCCCTAACTTCACTGTTTTTTAGGTAAATGAAAAAAAAAAAAAAATCAATGGAAATAATGAAACAATCAACCAAAGCGAAAAAGGTAATTGAATTAAAGAAACTTAACATCAGTGCCTAATGTTGCTCATATCGCTAAACAATCAATGAAGAAAGAAGGTCAGAATAGGACGGAGCATGTAGCAACAGCTGGAGAAGGACCCCGGAGAAGAGGAGAGGACTTACTTGAGGAAGGAGGTTACCTGAGAAGAGAAGTCTACTACACTGAAGATTAAGAAGATCAAGCCTATAGTTATAACACTTTAATACATTAAATTTATTACAGTTGTGGAAATAAATTATTTTGTTATAAAGGAGTGAAAAGTCATTTATTTATTTAGTTGTCCTATATGCCTCACAATTGAAGAATAACAAACCAGGTGAGTCAGTTCAAGTGTGTTTACTATGTCCCACATTTCAGATATATATATTCTTATTATTTCTTGTCACTCAGTGTCACAAAAAGGTATTAGATTCCCGAATTCTCAAGGACAGTTAAACACCCTCAACAAGTCTATTTCCAGTGACGGGGTTTTGTTTTAATATTCACGAGTGTAAATAATCTAAGTCCTCCAATAAAAACGGAAGGAATATTTACAATTAAACTCTCAATAGGTTATTTACAATTTTGTTTAGATTAAATTAAGTTATTTGTAAAATTTTTAATTGTTCTACTTTACTTATATTTTATAAGTAAAAATGGATATTATTGTTATAAGAAAACAAGGTAACTGGAATCAGTGACGGATCCAGAAATTTTCTGAGGGGAGGGTGCACTTGTGAGAAAAGTGAATTCTATACTCTAAAGAAGCATACACACAACTTTGATGTATCAAATTGTTAATCCCCTTCAAATTGAAAATTTAAAACATCAAATGCTTAGTTTATATTAGACTAAGGCTAGTGTTCTTTGGTACTGGATGGGTGTTGAGGGATAAGTGTTTATTTTGAGGAAGATGGTAGATTTTAGGAGATTTAATTCTACTAACTATAACTATAACGATTTAATTCTAGAGCATGGTGACTGACGATATAGATATTACCTGTTGCAAACGCCTTAGCCCGCTCGGCTTATTATAATATGAGTAAAAAGTATAAATTACAATTAATTGTTTAACAGTCATGTTTCAATTAAATTAATAATAAGAGCACCAGATGTGTAGTTACTTTTTTTCTCATTTCCCCAGGAGGGGAACCCTCCCCTGGATCCACTTGTGACTGGGACCAGTTTCAATATTAGTGAATATAAAATGTTTATACATTTATTATCTTATTTTATACATTTATTATTTTATTTATTATCTAACTCGAGCTGGTGCACTAAAGGGAACCTTACAGGACTGGAACTATTAGGTTATTTTACTATTCAATAACATCTATTTTATTTATTTAGCCATAAGTAGAGTAATAATTTATGTTTAAAGTAAATCAATATAGATATAGTACATTTAAGAGAATGATTAACTATGATCCTTTTCAAAGTATTAATGAAACCATGGTCAAAGTATTAATGAAACCATGGAATTATTAGGTAAGAAAATTAAAATTCCTGATGACTGGAAGCACGATTCCTGGCTTCTTTAAACTTCTTGACACCAAGATGATTATGTAAGTAACAGTAGGTTTGATTTTGTCTCATCCGGTTTCAATCATTAAAGAACATAATAACTTACACATTACATTATATTATTTAATATTATAATTTAAGAAAAATATACATAAAAAATTACCTGTAGCAATAATTTGGTGCTGACCAAACTGTCAGGACAGTTTCATTAAAATGCCACTTGTATCCTTCCATGACAAGTTGATGTGCTCGGCATATCATATCAATATCATTGGAAACATTAAACTGCGCTACAACATCAGATCCAAACAGGTACCCAGCTCCACGAGGGCTAACACCCCAACCTTGTGTATCTAAATGTAGAAAATACATTTTTTTTTCAGACTAAAGTATATATATAAAATATTAATAATAAATGTAAACTATAATATGAAATATATTTCGACATGAAGAAAGTACTAGAGAAGCTTATGGAGTTCATCCAATTTTTCACATTCTGAATTTTCACGTCTAGATGTAAGTGCAAAAAAGGATGCAGACAACATTGTGTAATGCCAAAATTTTTATCCACAGCTCCTTTTAAGTTAATATATACAATGCTGAAACACTTCATGCTCAAACAACACATTACAATAGACAAATCCGTTCATACACAATATTGCAAATTGTTGATGTTAAAAAATTGCACTGCCAACAGATGGTTCCAGTCAATACACTACATATTTTTTTTCACAAGCTACTTAAAACAATTCAAAACGTTATCATATCAAAACAATTATAATGTTTTTATAATGAGGCATATTCATAAACATAAATTAGTTAAAATGTGAAAAAAAAGCTTTGAGTCAGTATATAAACATTTTTCTTGAATAAATTATACATTTATTTATCTATCTATTATTAATTTTCAGGATGTTTAAGGTTTTTTCCACATATTTGGAAAAATACTAATATAAATTAGAGTTAATAATTTATGTATTAATATTAGTTGAAATTTTTGAAACTGACAATTGAAATGAATCATGACAGCATATTAGTGTTTGTGCCCCCTAATTTATTAAATTTAGATTCCCCGACTTCCAGCATTTTTCCATACAATTTCTCCAACTTTTCCAGGTTCAAAAAATTTCTCTGCCTTTTCAGGACTGGTAGACAATGTGTATATATAAGACCATATACTAATCCATAGATAGACATTATCGATTATGATTACGTTATTACTGTGATCAGGTTTTCAATTACAATTGTAATTAGTTAATTGTGTCATATTTTTGCTTTATTGATAGTACTATTAAATGAAGTATAAATTAAGTATTATTTTCAGTTGTAATCATGTAATCATTGATTCCGATTTTGCCCTTCTTTGGTATAATCGTGTATATACATAAAGATACATTATTAGTATATATCCATGCAAATACACAGACCATAATTTAAAAATGAAACGGTATGATAAAGACTACCTTCAGGGTCTGACCAGAGCAAATCACACATGGGACCATCATGAGGAACTTCTTGTTTCCTGTCAATAGTTCGTATTTGATCCAATGTCTGAATTGAGGGGGAAAGACCTCCGTGTACACAAAAAATCTAAAACAACAAATACAATAAAAAACAAAATATCATCATAATAAAATAAGTAAGTAACAAGATAAAATTAAATGTTAATAGTTTTTTATAAAAATCGATAAGAATTAAATTCAAAATTGAAACTGAAATATTATTTTGCATATCAACAATAAAAAATCTGGTGCGCAAAATACACAACTTTCATTTATCTCTCTACTTTGAATAGAAATTATTTTCTGGCAATGTTGAGCAATTATAAAATTTTTGGCATGCACTTTTAATGGAGCTATAGCTTAAAGCTAAAAATTATTAAGATCACTAAAATAACAAAAAGTTGAAAGAAAAACGTATCTATTAGGAAAGGGACAGGGTTAGAGGGGTCGAAGATTACCTTTTCAATTGCTTTAAAACTAATTTATGGGTGGTCTCATAATTTGACAATACAATGGGGCAAAGAGCAACTGAAACTATCGAACAGATGTATCATAATGTGGAATAAATTTTTAAGAGAGGTTTGTGCTCATAACATGCTATACAGATCAACTAACAAAATTGGAGCGCCTGGGAAAGTCGTTGAAGTAGAAGAGTCTTTTTTCTAAAAGAAAAATAATGTAGGGAGAGTTCTCCCTGAACAATGGATGTTTGGCAGAGTTTGTCGAGAAACAGACGACTGTTTCATCGTAAAAATAAAGGACAGAAAGGCAACAATTTTATTAGAATGTATTACAAATAATATAGAAGAGGGGAGCACCATTTATTCGGACAGTTGGAAAGGATACAACAACCAACAACTGAATGAAGCAAACTATAATCATTTCCAGGTGAATCACTGTTATAACTTTGTTGATCCATCGACTGGGGCCCATACTGAACACATAGAACGTTTATGGGGCTCAGTCAAGTGGAGAAATAAGAAACATTGAGGAATTGTGAGGCAACACCTCGATTCATATTTATGTGAATTTTTGTGGTGGCGGGCTCACAGAGAAGAGGAACAGTTCCTCGCTATTTTAAATAGTATTAAGCTATTTTGCCTTCCAAAATAAATTAAATGAATTATGTATGTTGTAAAATAAAAGTGTTGTTGTTATTTATATTTCTTATTAATATAAATTATCAGTGCCTTATCAGAATTATCTGTGTTCAGGTTATAAATATTGGCAGATAGCAGTCCATAGAGACCAGGTCCTTCACAAGTACCATTAAATGTTATTAGTTTTTATAAAAATTAAATTCAAAATTGAAACTGAAATATTATTTTGTATATCATCAATAAAAAATCTGGTGTGTGCAATGCACAATTTTTGTTTATCTCTCTACTTTGAATAGAAATTATTTTCTGGCAATGTTGAGCAATTACTAAATTTTTGAAGTGCACTTTTAATGGAGCTATAGTTTAAAGCTAACAAATCATTAAGACCACTAAAATAACAAAAAACCTATTAATTATAAACCTCAGTACTCCATCTGTTTTTGTAAACTCCAATCTCTAAAATGAAATTACGAGATTTTCATTTTCTGTGTCATAGATAAGTCAAAAGTTGTCACACTAATTTCAAGTGGATAATGTTTGGATTTCACAAAAGGAAAATTCATCAAATTATTCACTAATTAAATTTTCTAAAAATTACATGACGATTTTTCAGAATAAACAGACATACCTATTTATTTAAATATAATATCAGATCTAGAATTATTAAACTACAGTAAATGTATTTAACATTATAATCATATGCTTTATATATATTCATGAAATATTTTTATATTTCACTTCACATAAGTACTATAAAATGTTTTTTTAACAATGCCATTGCCTCGATTAGGTAGATTTTAAATACAGTTTTTTCAAATTTAGAAAAAGTTTACATTTAGTTAGTAAATATCATTGGATTTCCTTGAAAACGTGCGATTTTCATTAAATAATATTAAGTTTTCGCAAATTATTACTTGTAATTTTTTTCACTCTCCATTACTTTCTATATTAGGTATTGTTTTTTATAAAACTATGCGCTTTCCAAAGATATATTATACGCATACGTTCTGATTAGTATTTCCAGAAATTCATTTTCGACATAAACATTTTCCATTTTTGAATTATCTATTTCTTTCAAAAGTTATATTCTCTTAATAATGAGAGATAGTTAATTATTTAAAATAAAGGTACTTTAGAGAAAGACATGTTGAACATTTAAGCCCTGTAAAGTGACATCACTGGAGATAAGACCTAAATGATATTTAAGACCACTTAATTATATAATGTTACACCCAGTTTAATCAAAATCGTTGGAGCTGTCTTTGAGAAAATTGTAAAAATGTGTTTCAGCGTTGATAAAAGTGGCATTTCTGGTTAGCCAATTTTAAGGAAAAAGTTAAAGTTTTGGAGAGTCCTTGCCACAGTGAAGAATGAAGATATATTTTTTAAAATATTTTCACAAAACTAAAAGAATCCTGGATTAATTTTGAAATATTTAATGATTGGTATATAAACATGATACCAGTAGAAGTTCATACATAATAACAAGAGGCAGGCAATCAGTGAGTCACCAATTTTGACCAACATTTAATCAGCATTCTGCATTCTAAAATTTTCTTTTAAATGGGCTTTTCTAGGTTAAAAAATTATTTAAATCATTTGAATAATTCAAATGACTATTATTAACTGAAGGTCTGTTCCAACACAAATTTTACTACTAACAATATGCCAATCATATGAGGAATATGCTTTTTCTGTTCATATGCTGCTCTGTTCTCATGCGGGTTACAAATTTTGGAAAATAACAACTGTATTGCGCATGTGGCTGATAGTCAAAGCTAGTGTTGGAAAAAACTTTATTTAAAAATATAGAACATTAAAAATAATTGCCTACCTTTCCATCAATGATTGCTGACAGGCTCAAGTAATCAAATATTTCTGTACAATAACGCCATACAGTTACACTGCCATACTTTCGAACACACTCATCATAAAAACCATATACTTGTGTAATTTGTCTAGATTCATGATTTCCTCTAATCAGAGTTATCCTATCAGGGTATCTGACCTGATAACAGAATTATAATTATTGAAACTAGGAAACAACAAAAAGTAAACAGATCTATCACATATTAACATTGAATAAATACCTTTAATGCTAGTAAGAGTAAAAATGTCTCAACACTATAAAATCCTCTATCAACAAAATCTCCCATAAATAGATAGTTAGTTTCTGGAACATCACCTCCAACTTTAAATAATTCTTTGAGGTCATAGAACTGTCCGTGAATGTCACCACATACCTAGTAATTCAAAAAGAAAATCAATAAATATAAACCTGAAATAATGAAATGACCAGTAAATATTTCTCTTTGATTTTAAATACTCACAGTAACTGGTGAATCAACCCTTTGTACATTACTTTCTTCAACTAGTATTTCTCGAGCTTTGGCACATAGGGCCTTGACTTCAGACTCTTTAATAATTTCACATTTCTTAAGCTGTTCTATCTGTCTATCTAAATTGCTTGTGTCATCCATTTTAAAAAAGTTGTTCAGAGTATTACTACACACTAAAATAAAAAAATATTAGAAAACAGAATAATAGCTGAAATTATAATTTAAAACTTAAATAAACAGATAGAAACGATGAAACCGCGGTTCTGAGTTAGAAAAGCAGAATAAACAGTATATTCCTCTCTTAACTGCAAAACTTACCAAATAATAAAAATAAAGTAGTATATAAATGTAGTTATATGCTCAATTTCAGAAAATCATGACAAAAACCAATGCACATTATGAATTACGTTGCCAAACATCAAATAATAACATGGCTCATATCACCTTAACCAAAATCCACAAACAACCAAAAGGCCCTTGCAGTGTTGCCCCCTTTTTTTTCGTATGCAATAATTATTACTGTACTGAACACCTTTTGAACATAAATTATGCTGTAAACGTTTCTTTATAAAATTACAATACATAGATCAGAGTTATTTTATTAATAAACTTTAAAAGTTTTACATTATCAAAACTAGAGAGACAAGATTCCAGCGAAATTTTATTTTTAGGTTAAGGAAAAAATAATTTGTTTTCGCTTTTTGATTGTTTTAGTATTAATTCAGTCAATAATTGAGTCAAGTTATAAGATGATAATATTTATTTCGATATATATAATTAAAAATACTCTAAGATTTATTTGTCACTGCTGATAAACTTTTTTCTACACCCAGTTACGAGTTAAAAATTAAACTGAGTGAGTTCACCACATTCGTTTCTGAGATAATTAATTACACTTGTTTTAGCTTGATAAAATTTAGTAGAGATGTTAAAATTATTTTAATCTTTACTACTGAATAAAATTATTCATTCATTCCTTCATACAGCTATACACCAGTAGATCCAGGGGAGGGACGCAGAGGGCGCGCGCCCTTCTCCCTGGAAAGTGAGAAAAAATTAACTAAACAAGCAGCGTTATTGTCATTATTATTTTATTTGAAATGTGAATTGTTCAAAACAATTAATTCGTTCTAAAAAGCGACGAATAATTTACAAAATCTGAATATTTACACTAAACATTCTTCACATATCCGCGTAAAGATTGTAGCTGGAAGTAGTTGCTCGAGTGCTTTGATACCTTGTAAATTATTTTCAATTGACTTTTTGGATTTTTTTTTTTTAAAATGTCGTGTTTTGGGTTCATATATGTCTATTATTCAGTTTTCTTAATTTTTTTTTCACAATTCTGTAGTGATTAATACTACGTTTATTGACAAAATTATCCAGTAAAGATATTTTGACTGCCATTCTATGGCAAAAAAAAGATACATATTTCTTTACATACACCCACACACACATACATAGTCCTGTAATAAATATTGTGACAAGTAAATATATACAGATTTCAACAGAAAAATTAATTTTTTCAAAAACTTTATTAGAAAATAAAATGTATATTTATAGAGAGTAAACAAAAAAGAAATTACTCAAAATGTCCCCCTTCTGCCTTGACACAGCATTTAATCTCTGTGGCCAGTCATCAATAGCAGCACACAGTAGTTGTTGAGGAAAGCGCTCAACTGCTCGGACCAGAGATTGTTTGTGGCTTTCCAAGTTGGGATGTGCTCTTGCCATCCTCTCCAGTTCGGAACAAAGCTGATAATCTAGTGGGTTTAGATCAGGGATTCCTGAGGCAGAGATGAACTCTGGAATGTTCTTTTACAGCAACTGCTGAGTTGAGCTGGAGTGGAATCAGCAACAGCATATAATTAAGAGGCTTGACAACAGGTTCCAAAATATTGTCCTGATAGTTTTTAGAGGCTGTTTTAAATCCTTTTAGAGAAAAATGGAACTTTGTGGTGCCATCAAAGCAAACTCTCCACCAAACCATCACTGAGGAAGGGTGATAACGTCATTTTGAAAATTAAATTTTTTTTCAATTATAAAAAGTTTCTCATCACTAAACAAAATCTTTCGATCAAGACCATTGGTGTTACGGCCAAGGAGCACTTTGCATCTATCCACTCTAATCTATTTTAGGGAAGTGGTTAGCCTTTGTCCTGTCATTCATCAAAATGCACCCATCCTAAGGTCACTTTGTATCATGCAAGACATTGATATGATAGAGATTCACATTTCCCGAGACATGATTTGTTGTTTTCGAATGGGATTTCTTCTGATTTCAGCAGTCGCTGCTCTCACTGCATTTGCGGTTTTCACAGTAAGGGGACGGCCTGGTTGAGGTCTGTCACATATAGATAGAGTCTCATTATATCTTTTTATAGAGCGGAACACAAACATACGGCTGATACGCAAAGGTTTCAAAGTGTTGAAAATTTCTGACATACATTTTCCAACTTTGTTTAAGGCAATCACAACTATTCGGTTTTCTTTATCACTCCACTCCATGTTAACTGAGCGAAATAAAATTACAAACTAATTGGGATTATTATCCTGACATGTAAAGAAAATAACCTGATAGAGGTAAGGATTATCTAAATAATACCCAAGAATGTAAACAAAGTTCAACTTTTGTAACAGTATTTAAGGCAAAACTAGGTATATACACGTTTGGTGTATATTGGTGTATTCGCCTTTTTTGAAAGTGTGCCAACCCTTCAGAAAATTTCTGGATATCAGTGACGGCCTTAGACATTCGGCGCCCCTCGGCAATGACGTCATTCCCCCCTAAAAAATTTAACTTATTTCTGAATCTATTTTAAATTATGTTAATTAAATTAATGAATTTTATTTCATTTGAAAATACCTTTCTACTGGGAAGAATATGTTAAGTACAGAAATGAGGCCAAAAGAATAATTAAATCAGTCAAGACAAGGACCTGGGAGCAATTCGGTCAGGAGCTAGAACAGAATTATAGAGAGAATATAAGGAGATCTTGTCACATTGCAAAAGCTCTGAAAGCCAAAAAGTCAAAACTGGTCAGAAATATAAAAGATGCAAATGGCAAGTTGGTGACTGAAGAAAAAGAGGTATTAGAAGTTTTGAGGCAGTTCTTCCAGGAAAAATTTAGTATGGAAGGACACCGACGCCATAATCACAGAGACTGCAGAAGGAGAGCGATGGTGGAAGAGGTTTACCCGGAAGACTTGGATGACGCAATAGGCAAGGATGAGGTGGAAACTGCAGTAGCCAGAATCAAAATGGGAAAAGCACCAGGACCAGATGAAATAGCTCCACAATTAATTAAATATGGAGGCAACGAAAAGATCAAGATCCTTCAAACTCTTTTCCAAAAGATTTGGGACCTCAAACTGATACCACGAGAATGGGAGAACAATATCATAATCCTTATCCACAAGAAAGGCAGCCAAAGCGAATGCGGGAACTATAGGCCAATATGCTTCTTGTCAGTTATGTACAAGATATACACAAGAATTCTTGAACAGCGACTAAGGCATATAGTAGAGCAAGATCTAGAGGAGGAGCAAGCCGCTTTCAGACCCGGCAGACAGACCCAAGACCACATATTCTCACTACGGATGATTGTGGAAAAAGTTGGTTTATCTAGCATTTCTGGATCTTGGGCTGCATTCGACTCAGTTCTGAGACAAGAGATATGGGACTTACTAATTAGAAGAAGAGTTCCTGCAAACTTGATGAGTGCTATTAAATCAATATACCAAGACCCAAAGGGTGTAATAAGGCTCAATGGACACACATTAGAACTTTTCCACTTTTATAAAGGAGTAAAGCAAGGGGATAGTCTTAGTCCTCTGCTTTTTATCCTTCTCATGGATGAAATTTGGAAAGTGTGTAAAAGAAGAACCCCAAGAGCTGTTGTGGGATATTGGAATTTGACAGCAGTGTTGGCTCAAGCTATGTTATATGCCGGCGATATAATTCTTATAGCGGACTCACAAGAGGCTCTACAGACATCATTGGTCGAGTGGGAAGAAGAATTGAAGCTGCGAGGGCTGCATATAAACCCGTCTAAGAGCAAGGTTATGTGTGTTGGAAAAGATAATGCGGAGCCTATGATGTTAAGTAATGGCGAACTCCTAGAGATAACAAATGCATACAAGTATCTGGGGACAATCATCAATGAAGATGGTAAAATAGACCAGGAGGTACTAAATCGGGTGATGAAGGCCAATGGGATATATTACCAGATAGCCAATACAATCATAGGAAAATGGGAAGTAAGCAGAAAGGCCAAACTCACGATATATAAGGTGGTGTTCCTCCCAGTACTTCTTTATGGATCTGAAAGCTGGACAACCCTCAATAAGCAGATAGGCAGGATCACAGCAGCGGTAATGAGATTCCTCCGAAGAATAGCTGGCAAAACTAAGAGGGACTGTGTTAGAAATGACAGAATTCGTGAGGAATTGGAGGTGACATCAATCCATGGCATCCTGGAAGAGAAGCAGTTGAAATGGTTCAGGCACATCTGCAGAATGGACGACACCCGAAAGGCCAAGTGGTTTATGGAAGCTAGACGACCTCGTGGCAGGCCGAGACACACTTACCATGATTATATTGGAAAACTGGGCACAGCAAGAGGATGCACCATACCGGAGATGAGAAGACTAGCCAGGGACAGAGACCAGTGGGCAAGATGGGTTGGGACTGCAGCTCCACGCTTAACGGCACAAAGGAGCTAGAGAAAGAAGAAGAATTTTATTTCATTCAAAATTTCTCTAATACAGTTCCTATATCGATAGGCTATTTTTGATTATTTTAATATTTAGTATTTTTTTTTTATTTCTACCAATTGACAAGCGCCTCTGAAGATCAACAGGTGCTTCTCCAAGTCAACACCCCGTGGCGATTTCTCCTGCCCTAAGGCCGGCACTGTCTGTCATTACTGCTTTATTTCACTGCTTACCAATTTTCTGGCACTGCCTTAAAAAAGATATGAAGCCTGAGCTAAATCCTACAGAGTTACTCACAAACTTTTAGAAAAAAAATCTAGTGGCACTGTTTTTGTAAAAAAATTGAGTTTGCTTTTGTTTTTATTGCATTGTTAATCCTCCTCCTCTCCCACACAAAACTTAGGCCTAAAGCAAGTAAAAGGAAACAAAGAACTTTAGTCACTCGAACAGTTGTTGTTGAACTCATGTAAAAGTCAGATTTGAGATTGTGTTAAAGTTAATGTTAATAAGATGCTGTTGTTTTTATTGCATCATTGATCCTCCTTTCTTCCCCAAGAATGGAAACTTCGGGCCAAAAGTGACTAAAAGGAAACAAAGAACTTTAGTCACTCAAACAAGTTTCAGATTTGCATACAGATAAGTTTGTGCATACTAAGATATCAAAGATACTTTTCACTTTTTTACATTATTCGTTTTTAGCTGAAAAAGTTCTATAAATGTATCAATGTTATGAAGGCTTGTCTCTCCTCCCCCCTGTGTTTAATCTATTATTTTTTTTAGATATTTACAAGTATATTTAATAAGAAGAACAAAATAAATAAATAAATACAAAACCTTACAACTGTACAAACTTATAAACAAATTAATTTTGAATATTTAATATTATCTTTATTTATTTCACAGTAATTAAATTGAATTATTACAGATATTAAAAACTGCCAATATTGTTTTATGTCCATCAGTCTCCTAACCAAAATCAAACATATACACATATGGTTTTTTTGATCAATAGTGTACTTAATTTTTTTTTCAATTTTAAAAAAAAATTGGGTATGGAACAATAAATAATTACTTAAAAGTATAGAGTAAAAATGATTTTATTTAAAAAAATAGATATTCTATTAAACAAAATACATAGCACATACATGTGAAAATAACCCGGCAGAACTATGTTATTGTTAGATCCCAGGAGGCTGGTTTTTCAAGTCAGATTTCAAGAGGCTGGTTGATTGTTTTCAGTAATGAAGTTCATCATCCTTTCATAAAATGTAACAGCGTCTTTCTGAAAAGCAGTCTATTCATAAGAATATATTATATCTTCCAAAATGAATATTAACTAGATATAAATATAAAATATACAGTGCAATTAATCATTTTAAACTTTTGTTTACCTTTCTTTCACAAATTTCAGATATATCACTAGTTTGTGATGCCTGCCAATATTTTGAATGAAATAGTTTTCCATCTTGGTAATTTGAAGGAGAAATCTGAAATGGATAATAATTAATGAAATTGGTTTATTAAAAATATTACAATATATGTATTTATATTAATATAAAAATTCTTAAGAAAATTCTGATTATAGATAATTGAAATCATCAAATTTGGGGAAAATGTGGTTAAATCCAGAAGAAATAGACAGATGGAGAAAACTAATCTAACCATTTAAAAATAATAATGTAAGTTCTACAACTACAAAGTTGAGCATATCTTTAGTATAATGAAAGTAAGGAAAAACATGATGTTTAATTACCATTTGAGTAGATAATGGTGATCCAATACCATCAAATATGAATATAACTGTTGAATATAACCTGGTTACTAAAGTATATAATCTTAATGGTCTCGTATCTTTCATTGTTTCTGACAACGAGAGCCTTGTTAGTTGGTGTACTTCATAGAACTGAACCAAAATAGCAGAAGAAACAAGAGCACATAGTTCCCATGCTAAGAATTTTATGTTGTTCTAAAATAACAATAATTTACTTTAGTATTAATAACATCCTTGATGAAGATATAAATAACAGTGATATTTAAGAGATAGTTAAAAAAAAAAAATTTATTTCTAAAAAAAATGAATAACTAGTATGTTTCGATCACTTCATTAAGTAAATAAACATGATATTACAATTAAAACTAACTCAACATCTTCAAAAACAATCTCTATATCTACTAGGTAGAACATTTCATGACAGCAGTTAGAATACAATTGTAGGCCATACATAATTCCTCACAATCCATTATATAATTGTCACAATAATTTAAATAAAATAAAATTCACTTTCAATAAATGATTAATTAAATCGCATAGATGTGTAAATATAATTTTAAGTTTCGTTTTTATTTTTTATGTTTAATGTTCAAAGTAATATTTTATTTCTATTTCTCTCATTATCTTATTATTTTGTATTAAGAGAAATATTATTAATTTATTCTTTCATTTATTAATTTGTTAGCATGTTCATTTCATTTGTTACTATTTTAAATATACATAGATTTTCTGCTATTTCGCATTTCATTTTTTGTACATATTTATCCACAATGGATTTCATTGTATAAACAGTTTAAAATTAATTAATAAGGCAACAAACAGTGCCTATGGATTAGGTAGAGCAGAATTGACTATTCACATTTGAAGGCCTGTTGCCTCCATAGTTGGAGTTGTATCTATGCTTTGCAAAACGATTTTGTCCTGAGGGAATATGATTTCAGGGCGAGACCATTTTCTTTTTTTGGTTCGGAGGGTAGATAGATCGAGAGGATCAGGAGGCAACTCCATATTACAATACAAATTTAGTAGTAAATTGATATATAACAGATAAAGTAAACTATTTATGATAAATGATAGTAAGGAAAACAGAAGAAAATAAATGAAATATAATAGAAAATAAAATAAAATAAAACCAACAAATTATGAATATTTCGAAAATGATTTAAATAAACATGTAATAAGATATTACGTAAATAAGTTAAGAAAGATTTATAATTTAATACAATTAATAAGAGAAATAGTATGCTTATCTGCTCCTGAAACTGGAGACAGCAGCAGCTACACAAGGGGTTATAGTTAATCCAAACTACAAGGATGCAATCTGAACTCGGCGACAGCTGAAGTGAGACTGAATTCCAATTTAGTTATTTACAAGAATTTGAGGAAATATTCAAAGATTCTAGGGGCTATAGAAGAACCCTATAACATATCTATTATTGTTCTTAGACAGGAGTACCTCCACCAATATTTTTTAGATAGTAACTACACCAGAGTGAACTAATAACTACATCATCTGCACTAATAAATTAACTAACATAATTAATATTGTAAACCTCATATAGTAAGCTAGAGAAAAGCAATTTAATAAATTCTTTATCATTGTCTTCAAACTATAATCTTAAACCTAGTTTTATAAATTTCAGGATAAAATGTAATCAAATTGAGACCTCATATTTGCTAACGAATATTACCTACATTCAAGGTTATAACAATTTAATAAATTACTTACATACAGATACCTTAGAGCCAAAGCAGGTATAATAAGGTGGGTGGGCAGAGATCTCACTTTAAGTGAATCTACATTAAATATCTCTTCAATAATTGACCACTGTGCTGTCGTGTTACCTCTCCAAAGAGACAGCAGCCCAGGGTTTTCAACTTGAAAGATGGGAAATAAAAAAATTATCTGTAATAAACTATTTCCATCAAGGGCTAGATAATAGTAAATAATTTATTTTACTAAATGTGGGAAGATAAAATTTTAGAATGTATGATTCTTATTAATATAATACTAATTTCTTCAGATCCAATAACAATAACTCTTAAAAGTTACAGGGTTTGATTACGTTCTTTTAAATTATTACATTAGTTTAAAAAATATTTTTATAAATTTAAAATCTACAATATTCCAATAAAGAAGTTGATAGTTGAAGGTATAAGTCTCAAAACTGTTTTCACTAATATCATCAGTTTATTATAAAAAGTGACATTTTGTAACCTTAAATCACTACACTTAAAACTTTGTTCTATTTTTTTTTTTTTTTGTGAAACGAGAAAATTGTGTGCTTGTAAATATAATTGATGTAGAAAAGGGTTCGTATCAATTTAGTGCACGTACTCTATTTTTTTATTGATAAATAAGGTTGCAATTCACAAAAACATTCTTAACAAGTCAGCTTCATCAAAAATCATATCGTTGTGTTCCTTGTAACTATTTATTAAAAAAAAGCCAATGTTCCCACAAAAAAAAGTGAACGCACTGCCCCAAAATGGCGTCCAAAGATGGCGGATTGACGACTTTGACTTTAGTTAGTTTTTTGGTCACTGAGAATCAGCATTTGGCTTAATTTCCTCATAGTTGGTCTTTTATTAAAGCTGAATAGTCATAGAATAATAAACCATGAAGAAATATTAAAAAATAATTGGCTTAGGCTATGAAACACACTACTAAAGTCAATTTTTTTAACAAAAAAATTTTCAAGTTAAAAATCAAGCGTCATTTGTAATTAAACGGCCTACAATAACGCAAAACGTGCTGAAATAAACCATCTGGAGAATATATTTTTCTTTCCAAAACGCTGATTATTTTTTAAAAACTTTTAAACAGTTCCGTAGAAAATGCACTTATGCGGCAGAAAAGCGGTACTGGCGTGGGTGCCTACAGGCCTCTACCACACCATTCAGTACACATAAATGGCTTAGTTAAAGTGATATAATAACATTTTTGGTACATTATATTGGTTTTATTAACGAACAAATATTAATGCAATAATTTAATTGTAAAAAAAAAAAATTAAAATTTTTTTAAAAAATTTATTATTATTATTTTTTTATTTAACCTTCTTTATTCTACACGTAGGTCGTTTAAGAAGACCTTGATTGTAAAAATGATATAATTATAATAATAAAACTTAATTAAAAAACTGCTAAATATCTTGATTTTTTTTTTATTTAACGTTTGCAATTTAACACTGTGTTTTGTATATTTACTGATTCTTAAAGGTAATTAAAATTTATATATACTTCCCAGGAAATGAGTCGTATTAATACCTGTTTTATAAACTAAAATAATATATACCTAATCTGAACTATATATAATGAATAGCCGCTGGGTTGTATAGTAAAACTCATATATCACTAATTAAAAAATTAATTTTTATTTCCTTTATTTTGTGCGGAAGTTGTACTATAGCATAAATAAATAGGAAATTTTATTATTGAATGAATTATTCTCTCTGCACAAAGAAAGATAGAAAGGGGGACGCTATAAGTTCTTCTATAAACCAGAACTGATTGTTTGGATTTGGTCTTGAAATGAGGAAAAAGGCGAAATTGAACCCGAAAACTGGAAAAATACATTAAGCGAACGAGAAAGGAAGTGCCAAAACCTTGGAAAAGATAAAAAGGACCAGTATCCATTATATGGCTAAACGAATGTATAGTAGACAGATGAAGAGAATATTTCAAGATGCTGCTAAAAGGGGGTCAATTGCAGTTTGGATGATATTAAGTGGACGATGTGGGTTTATTATGGTGAAAACCACTTTATTTTCGATTGCTGAAGGTGCACATTGGGACTATCTTCACTTTGAAGCAGGATGTAGAGAGGTATATCGAGTTATAGCTCATAGCTCTTCTTCTGTTTAGTGCATTTGCAAAAGATTTTTTAAGGAATCTTATGTAAGTTATAGCTCGTTATTGTTCAGAAATTGCGGAATAAATTTTTCGGAAGTTGTACCATATCTTAAAAAAATAGAAAATTTTAATATTGAATGCATTATTCTCTCTGCACAAAGAAAGATGGAAAGGGCGAAACCGAACTGCTTCGCACAGTTTAGCGCATACATAGGCAACAAGTATGTTAGAAAATAATATGAAAGGAGATACTAGGAAATACCCATCAAGATCCATTCCTGTTTAGTGTACCAAAGAAATTATACTCAAGAATCGTAGAAGCTGGAATAAGAAATATTGTCGATTGCCAGAGCGATATGGATTGAGAAACTCAAGTTGCACATTGGAAGAGAAGTTGAAAATTGAGACTGACTTCACTTTAAGGCAGGTTATAGAGAAGTCTATATACAACGAAAAATAGCTCTCTATCTGCTTAGTGCCTTACTCTTTGGATTGTGCTAATATCTAATTGTCTTTCAGAAAAGCAGGTTTTCCTTTTAGATTCCTTAAAAAATCGTTTGCAAATGCACTAGACAGAAGGAGAGCTATGAGCTATAACTTTCTCGATATAACTCTCTATATCCTGCTTCAAAGTGAAGATAGTCCCAATGTGCACCTTCAGCAATCGAAAATAAAGAGGTTTTTACCATAATAAACCTACATCGTCCACTTAATATCATCCAAACTGCAATTGACCCTCTTTTAGCAGCATCTTGAAATATTCTCTTCATCTGTCTACTATACATTCGTTTAGCCATATAATGGATACTGGTCCTTTTTATCTTTTCCAAGGTTTTGGCACTTCCTTTCTCGTTCGCTTAATGTATTTTTCCAGTTTTCGGGTTCAATTTCGCCTTTTTCCTCATTTCAAGACCAAATCCAAACAATCAGTTCTGGTTTATAGAAGAACTTATAGCGTCCCCCTTTCTATCTTTCTTTGTGCAGAGAGAATAATTCATTCAATAATAAAATTTCCTATTTATTTATGCTATAGTACAACTTCCGCACAAAATAAAGGAAATAAAAATTAATTTTTTAATTAGTGATATATGAGTTTTACTATACAACCCAGCGGCTATTCATTATATATAGTTCAGATTAGGTATATATTATTTTAGTTTATAAAACAGGTATTAATACGACTCATTTCCTGGGAAGTATTTATAAATTTTAATTACCTTTAAGAATCAGTAAATATACAAAACACAGTGTTAAATTGCAAACGTTAAATAAAAAAAAAATCAAGATATTTAGCAGTTTTTTAATTAAGTTTTATTATTATAATTATATCATTTTTACAATCAAGGTCTTCTTAAACGACCTACGTGTAGAATAAAGAAGATTAAAAAAAAAAATAATAATAATAAATTTTTTTAAAAAATTTTAATTTTTTTTTTTTACAATTAAATTATTGCATTAATATTTGTTCGTTAATAAAACCAATATAATGTACCAAAAATGTTATTATATCACTTTAACTAAGCCATTTATGTGTACTGAATGGTGTGGTAGAGGCCTGTAGGCACCCACGCCAGTACCGCTTTTCTGCCGCATAAGTGCATTTTCTACGGTACTGTTTAAAAGTTTTTAAAAAATAATCAGCGTTTTGGAAAGAAAAACATATTCTCCAGATGGTTTATTTCAGCACGTTTTGCGTTATTGTAGGCCGTTTAATTACAAATGACGCTTGATTTTTAACTTGAAAATTTTTTTGTTAAAAAAATTGACTTTAGTAGTGTTTTTCATAGCCTAAGCCAATTATTTTTTAATATTTCTTCATGGTTTATTATTCTATGACTATTCAGCTTTAATAAAAGACCAACTATGAGGAAATTAAGCCAAATGCTGATTCTCAGTGACCAAAAAACTAACTAAAGTCAAAGTCGTCAATCCGCCATCTTTGGACGCCATTTTGGGGCAGTGCGTTCACTTTTTTTTGTGGGAACATTGGCTTTTTTTTAATAAATAGTTACAAGGAACACAACGATATGCAATTTATAGGGATGTGGGGGGGGGGGGGTGCACGGTAAGGGGGTCTGGCCCACAGACTAAATGTATTTAGTGACTTTTTGCAATAAACTGAAAATTTATCTTACACGATCACAAGTTTTTTCAACAATTTTTGATGACCATTAGGAACAGACCTACATCTAATTCTAATGTTAGTGTATGATATATCTAAAAATAAATGATTAAATGTACGGTAAAATATAGAGTAAACAGGAAGAAATAGAACTGTTAACTATTAACTGTTTAATTATAAGATTAAATTAAAAATTTACTTAAGCATTTATATTAATGTAATTTAATAATATAAAAATATGGAAGTTATCCAAATTGTTAAACAAAAACTATTTTTTGAAAAAAAAAATGTTTTTAAAATCATTTAAAAACTAAAAAGAAATTAACATCATAAAGTCAAAAGAAAACATAATTAGGTAAGAACATAGTTATAAAAAGACAAAGAAAATTGTTTCTAAGGCTTTTTTGTGAAGATGGATAGCTTCTTTATCAGTTTTCTGAAAAGTCTTCATGAGTTCTTGATCTTCATTACAGCTTTGCTGCAATTGACAAACTATCAATGTGATGTTCAATACACCAAGTAAGATCACTATTTTCTGATCTTATACTCTTTCTATTTTTTATTTTTTTCTATTTATACACTCCAGGATTTAAAAAGAAACTTGAAATCACTATCTTATGCTTCTCAAAATTTTGGATACGAACATTTCTTGTTCATACAAATAAAGAATGATTATTTGTTTTACTTTTGCTGAACAAAGTGAACCACCCATAAAAGAAATGTGTAATGCAGACAATGAACCAAAATATTAAATAAATGTTCAAGAAGTATCAATATCAAAGTTTTCAATGTTCAATGTTTTCAGGATTGCTTTTTATAAATTGTCATAGTAATAAGAACTGTACAAAAAAAGTTAATAATTGCTTACTTTTTTAAATAAATTTAATTACTGGTGTATATATAATAGGATGCAAGTAAAGCATAAAGGAGTGTATCATTTTTATTGTATTCAAAAGCAATAGAAAACAATAAGCCCTGTCAATAAATTCTTCTTCTAAAAGAAGAAGCAATAAAATAAGAACAAACAAAATTAAATATGTTAAAAACAATTGACTTTCACCCACACAAATTCAATGATTTTATAAACACATATGGATCCAGTTCGTTAGGTTGTATGTTTGTTTTTAATTCGAATCTTTCATTGTATGTGATTTAATCTACTTACAATAAAAGATTAAAATACCATTTTATCCAAGGGAGTTCCCCACAGCAATAGTTAGGATTACCAAGACTGAACTATACTTTTGGAAATAATTAAAACTTAGACAAACCTTCTACTTTCTTAGGTTCAATGTAGGCAGCTGCATCTAAGCTATTGGGACCACACATTACCCATTCTTCAATTTTACAAGGTTCAGGATTTTCAGATAGAAGAATACCATACAGTTTTTCACGTAGTGGTTTGAATACCTAAACATTGACCAAGATTTAAAAAAACAGTTTACAAAATTGCTTTTAGAAAATTAGATACTTGAAACGCATTTTACGGTCTGTGAAGCTGGTAAATCATTTAGCCTATAATCTTCAAGGCAAGTCGCACAACTGTAAATATTTTGGGCAATAATTCCATAAACAGTAGAAGAAATAACTGTAATAGAATGAAGTTCAAATGCTTTTCTCAATATATTTTTCCAATTTTCATTATTTGAAGTGGGTGGACCAGGTCTTCCTGCCAAAATTAATTAAATTTTTATATCATGACAAAAAAAGTTTCACTAAGTATTATAAAAGTAATTAAAAAAATAATATTACTATTGATCTCTGAAGAATAGTCATAAGATAACATGCTTTGCTCCAACAACTGCCATTTAGAACTGTCTCTAAAAACTTGATGAGCAATTGTTTCTAGAGTTTGGCGACTGATGTTAAGATGATGGACGTGAAATTTAATGAAATGAGCAACTTCGAAAATGAGCTTCCCAAAATTTACCCAATTTTTTTTATAATGTTCCCCTCTTTTATACAATAATTGATTATGAAAAGGCTATAATAAAAAAAAAAAAAGAAAAAAGAAATTGAAATGTTTGTGAATAGAGCACAGTATTTTTCAGGAAATATTGACTTACTTTGAGATCCTCAAAAGAAATTACATCGTTTCCAAGAAGGCTCGCGAGCAATGGCAACTCCGTTGTATATATACCAATGGAAGAAGCCAGTTTATCTCTATCATAATTATATGTAGTCATGTGCCTAAAGTTAAAATTCTTTATAGACCAATAGTATTTGGCACTTTTAAATATTACAAAGTCAGTATCTTGAGCTAATATTGCCATGCATTTTTTCTGAAAGGCATATTCTGCTATTTCTAAATCACATTCTCTGATTGAACTGTAAACCTTAAATGAAAGAATAACATAAAATAAATTTAAATTTATTCATATTTTCAAGAAACATTCTTACATCCAGTAAAAGAATTAAATAGATGAAAACATAATATTTATGTAAAAATATATCTAAATAGTTACTAAAAAATATATTATTTTAAATCAAAATAAATAACTGAGGTACTTGTATCAAACAGATCTATCTAAAGATATGCAACAAAAATAAATCTTCAATTAAACAAAACAAATTTAGTTTCAATCTATATAATAACAATAACTTTCTTCTGAAACAATAAGAAACCTACCATAATCTTCAAAGAGCTTGTATCAATCTTAAGTACTAAACTGTTTGCCTATCAATGAAAATGAGGGAATTCTTTACAAGACTCTGATAAGACCGGTTCTTACCTTAGCTTCACAAACCTGGACACTAACTAAGATAGATGAAAAAGGTCTAATTTTTTAAAGAAAAATATAATGAAGAATAAATGGTCCTGTTAGGGAGAGTGAAGAATGGAGAAGGAGGAATCATGAACTCTACAACTTGTATGGAGACATTGATGAATTACAGTTCATCAAGATGGGCAGGCTCAGTTGGGAAGGGCATGTGGTACACACGGTTGAAGAGAGAATACCCAGAAAAGTTACGGAAGGGGTGCTGGACCGAAAAGGAGAAGAGGAAGACCCAGGTTGGGATGGATCGATGGTGTGGTCGCGGACTCAAGGATGATAATCCACCAACAGAACTGGAAGGCAGGGGTGAGAGATCGAGCTGGATGGTGGAAGGTCTCAGAAGTGGCCAAGCCCCACCCCAGGTTGTATAAGCCATCGAAGTGAGTATTATATATCTACATTTCTTATTTCTTATTAAAACTTCATAAATCCATGTTTTTGTATACCACATAACTCCAGTGTTTTCTATATTTTTTTCCTCCTGTGTCTTACACTATATTTTGCTCACGAGTGTTTCTGTTTTCCTGATTTGTAATGTATATATATAAAGTGAGATATTATATGTTTATTATATTCACTTCACTGACTATACTGGGAAAAAAATCTAATGCTAAAAATGTAGGAAGCTTAAATTTATTGGTTAGTAGACAGAGATTCATGTATACCAAAATCACCATTGAATAAAAACCTAAATTAAAAAAAAAAGAAAAAAACTATAAAATGAACTTATTTATCTACTTTATACATTTATTTGATGCATAAAACATTTAAATTGAATGTAAATAAGATCATGTATATGAAACAAATAACAGAGAAAGGACATAGCTTGGGTTCAGAATAAATCTGCAATTAATAACTTCCAAATGATCAGAATCTGTAACAACTGCACAGAGTCAGCTAAAGAGGACTAATGAATGCACCTACCAAGCAAAAAATCAAATGGTGAAGGCGGGATCTGCCTCTCCTCTTTAAGTGGCGATAACCAAGGCAGGAAGGCATATACCCCTGCCGCACCAGTGACCCAACTCACTGCCAAAAAGGTATATATCGCGTCCGCACCATTGACCCAACTCCTAACGGCAAAGCATGTATCCCGTCTGCAGTCAAAGAGTTAATCTTTGATGAAAATCAATTAGGTAATAACAAAATAAATAAGATTATCATTATAAGATGGCAGCCATTAGTAATGCATTGTGGTAGCTTTTTTAGCCTTTTTCAATGTTGTGAAAATTAAACTAGGCGCTATAAAAATTAATATGATGATCTGTTGATCATCTATACAACTATGAAAAAGAAATACAAACATATGCCAGAACCAAATAACATGAATAGTAATTCAAAAGATAAACATATACAAATAATTAAATGCTGTGATTATCAAACCAATACAAACCTTACAACCACTATGCCTGGCCACCAACATAGTCAACAGACGAATATTACTAGGAAGCATACTAAACTGACCATTTTCTAATGTTCTGATACTTGTTCCACTGCTAAGTTCATCTAAGAGGTTTCGAGCTTTCTCCAAAGTATCAAGTCTTCTTTTAATCCAAGTTTCTCTTTTAGAACAAACATGAGGCCCATCAAAGAAAAATACAAGTTCTGCGCCTTCATTACGAAAAGCATCAATAAAATCTTTAATAGTTTGTTCATATTCTTTTAACTGTCCGCCACATATCCAGGATAAATCTTTGAATTTATAAACATATCTCATTACTGACATTCCATCAACAACAATAATTGGTGTTGAATTAGTATCACTCCTAAAATCATAACCACAGAAACCATAAAAAATTAAATCCTTTTATTGACAGACCACATCAAAAAATAAAATCTTGGATTGTAACATATTAAACGTCTTGGAATATATAATCGATAATTAAAGGAAAATGTTAGCCCAAAATATCAGTATAATAAAAAAATGTATGTGTTGCCTCAAATATTCAAAATATAACATAATATGCTTATTGGTATTAACATGTCCTGTGCCATGGTATTGAATCACCAATACATTCATTGAGTTGCGAGACAAATAATTACTAAACAATGGTTGTGGCATCCTTTAAAATGATAAAACATTGGTCGAGAAGAAAATGAGCCACTCATCATTATTGATGTCAATATGAAGGAAAAAGTCAAGAAAATTTGAATTAATAATGCTGTATTTTTCTGGTATTTTATGGAGTTTTTAGGCCTAATTTTAATTTATTCAGACCGTGGTGTTAGAGTGAATTAAGGCTCCTGCAAAAATTTTATATCAAGTGTTTAAATCCCATTTGTGGGAATTAATAATACACACACAAAATAAAATTAACAATAAGTTAAAATAATTAAGTGCAGACCCCCTACTCGACTACTTGGACCACTACTGCACGAGTTCGATTCCTCCATGGAGACGGTAACGTCCTCATCCTGAGATTCATAGGGAGGTGAGCGACCCGCGTGTCTTATGCCATAGCTCCTGGTCCTCCAGGTTGGAGGTTAAGCATAGAGCTGATAATCCCATATCAACACGATCACTAATGTTGTCTATAACACCTCCAAGCTGCTTAAAAAGTCAAAGTTATCAGGCGTAGGGAAAAAAATATATGAATTTATGTAGCCATACAGTATTTTACAGAAGTAATACTTGTTTTACAATAGAACTAAAAGCACCTTTCAAGGTTAATATCAAATGTGGCCGGGGTGGCCGAATGGGCTAACGAGTGTACACAGCACCACCGTTGCCTGGCAACCTGATATATGACAAATGTTATAAAAATAGTCACGAGTTTGTGTCCCAGTGCCAAGGCATCTTTTAAATCCCCGCCCACACCCACTGGCACGGGAAAACACTGTATAGCCTTAACGGCGAGGAAGGGGGGGACCCAAAAAAAAAAAAGGAAGGTCGATATCAAATGTCAAAAATAAATTTTATATTCAATTTATTAAAATTTATAATATAAGATATTTCATACAAAGCAATATTTAAGACCACCTGAGAAGTATATTACAAAAAAAGTATTGGAATGCATTTATAATGTACATTATTATTGCTTATATAATATTGAACTTGTATTATATTTATTGTATTGTATATTGGCAAGAAAGCCTCCTTTCTTGTTTGAATAATTCAATTTCTGAATATATAAAAAAAATATATATTACTTAGGATTTTAAATGTTTACTTTGGATGGAGTTTTGGTAGGCAATATCTTACTATCGAATGAGACAATACACAGATATATTAATATTGTTCAATATTATTTCTTATATAATATTGACCTTGGAAGAGAAACTTTCCAGATTGAAAGATAAAAGTCTGAATATAAAAAAAAATAAATATATAAAATAAATGCAACCTACTGTGACTCATCAAAAATATGGAGTCAACAGAATATTAGGAAAAAACAAATTTTCAGCACAAAGCAGAAAGTTAAGGTAGAAGGTAAGGTAATCAAATTCATTATAAAACATAATAATTATGTAATGTGGAGCCCATACCATTTAGTAAAATCTAATCTTAGTGTAGTAAGAGGTCAAGGCTTAAAATACAGGAGTATTGCTTAATATGTTAAAAAAAGACAATTTTATTCATCAACAAATATACATTGTAATAACAATAACACTGCAAATATGTCATGATTTTATTTAACTGGCATAAAGAAAACATCAAGAATAACCGTGTTTGCCTGAAGAGGAGAGATGAAATAATAGAGAAATAAGAGCACTACTTCACAGAGAGTGATTTTACTGGTTTCATACATCAACTATAAAAGCAATAATTACAAAACAAAAAAAAATCATTTCTAGCATACCTATATTCATGAATTAAATCAATAACCCTAACAGGGTAACAAGCAGCAGCATTAGAGCGCTCTAAATATGTTTCTAAACCTCTAATACCCATTATAAGCAATTTTGAAAAATCATAACAAATAATATTTATGAAAGGTTAAACTTTGTTTATAATTGTATTTCCAGTCAAAGAGCTACAAGTTCCAAACTCTCTAATAATGATATGTAATCCAAGGAAAACATGAAAATTAACTAAGATAAACCAATTATTAGTATGAATGCTCAAAAAGGGAGTATAGACTCTCTCCTCGCCGTTAAGGCTATACGGGGTTTCCCCAGGCCAGAGGGTGTGGGCGGGGATTTAAAAGACACCTTGGCAACGGGACGCGAACTCATGACTATTTTTGTATCATTTATCATATATCAGGTAGCCGGGCAACGGTGGTGCTGTGCACAACCCGCCCATGGACTACGAGATGAGATCTTCTGGACCACATCCCGATTCCTGATTTAAGTACAGGGGGGTGGGTTATCAGTCCTACACCAGGTCGGTGTGAGTTACCTGCAGTAGACTGACGGGCCTCACAAACCCCGGGGGGAGGGAGGGTCGGACTGCGTGGCTTTCCCAGGTCGACGGTCACCCAAATCGGGCGGACACCCGTCCAAGTGCTAACCACGCTCGGCTTTGCTTAACTTGGTTACCTACTGCAAGCGCCTAAGCCTGCCCCACGGCTACCCCAGCCCATATATATATATATATATATATATATATATATATATATGAACTCCGTAAGTCCAAATAGGCCTTGTTATAGTCATGTATATTAGTCTTTTGTAATTAATTGGAAGTTTACATCGTTTGTCTAGTAAGTGCTAAAGTAATCGGAAACGTCGAGCGGTTTCTTGTTGTTTCAGTCTGGTATGAAGATTCCAAGCTAGACGTTTGTTCAGGTGGAGTCCTAGGTAACGGGTTGTGGAGTATTGTTACGGCAAATGGAGTATTGTTAAAGAAAACTGTAGGGCAGGAAGTCGTTGGTTTACGACGAAGGGTATAAGTAATTTGGTGGGATTTATTGGAATTTATTTTAATTATCCACTTTTGACACCATTCATCAAGGTTTATGATGTGTAATTGAAACATTTGGGATGCAGTTGATGGGTCATTATTTATATGTGTCATCGGCATACGTGGTGATGACAGTTTTGGGATAGGTTGGGATGTCAGCTGTATAAACTGTATAAAGGATAGGACCTAGGATACCACCTTGAGGAACACCTGCGGACTGAGAAAAGAGGGACGAATAAGCGTTTTTTTTTTTTGTAAAGTATCTATCAGTAAGGTAGGAACGAATAATCAGGAAATATGTAGGTCGTAGGAATTATCAGAGTTTGTACAGCAGTCCCGGGCGCCAAACTCGATCAAACGCCTGTTCAACTTGGAGAAATACTCCCGTACAGAACATTCTGCGCTCCAATGCTTAGGAAACTACGTCTACCACACGATAACATTACTGTATAGTGGAATGGGAAGTACGGAATCCAAATTGGTGATCTGGGATTATGTAATTAGAATTTAAGATGAGTTTTTCTAGGATATTGCCCATGATGGGTAAACGAGAGATAGGACGGTAAGAGAGTGGGTATTCTGTAGTTTTTTGGGTTTGTGAATCATTTTGACAATAGATCGTTTCCAAAGATCAGGAAAATATGTGGAATGTAGTACAGCATTATATATGTAATGAAGAGAAGAATACTTGGGGTGGTCAGTCAAAAAGGAAGGCAAAAATAAATGATAATATTTATTTTTTACATATGCCGACGTTTCGACCTGAAGTTCAGGCCTTCATCAGGGCTGTCTCCTTAAGTGTTGCAGGGAGAATGTCTAACTTTTAAGATCTGGAATGTAATTAGGTCATGTCCAGGAGCTTTGCGGGAGAGTAATTTTTGAATGATGGATATTTCTGTGGGATGAAATGCGTTTGGTGGAAGTGACATTTGGAGAGGAATATCCAGTTCTGCTTCAATACAATTGATGTGAATTGAATTAAGGATATCGGGATGTGGGTTAAAAGTTTGGAAGAGATGTTGACCAAATATTTGGGCTTCTAAAAATAAAATAAATAGTTTGGTTTAGCTATAATTTCGCTGTTAGTTAAGTTAGATAAGTGTTTCTCATTCTAGTTTGTAAAATGTCTAAATGCACCTTTATATTATACTATTATTTCGATATAAATTTACTAATGGAAACTAAAATCACATATATAAGTTACAATTAATTAAATTAAATAAATTGTGAATTATTGTAATTGAAATTAAAGAACACTAAGCATTTTAATCCACTTATCAATGGGAATTTCATGTGGTTTGAATAAATTGAATTTTTGTTACTGAAATCTGTATGTCTAAATTTAGGACACTATCGAGAGGGTGACAAGAAATTAGAGAACGAAATAATGAAGAAAAAACATATAATGTTTTTATAATCTGAAAAGGAGTGGAATGTCCCTTTTCCGAGAGGAGGGAAGTATTCATATGTTTTTTGTTGCATTAAGTATATAGTTTCATACATTGTGAAAGTGGAAGTTAGGTTTTAGCTATGAATTTAATATTTGACGGTGACTCGGCAAAATTATCTCTAGAGCCCTTAATTTCCCTTCAGGTTTCTGTAAAAAATAGTAAACTAGAGAATGGGTTAGTTCTCCTGTTGGAGCTGTTCCTCCTCCCATTTCATTAGAAGCTGCCTTTGAAACTAACTCTAGGCTAACCTCAGGAATATTAGTATCTTCTTTGTACCAAAGTCTTGAAGACTTCATTGCTGATTGTTGTTTATTTTTTTAAAAATTTGGTTGTTTGATTTCATTTGTTTTTCAATATTTTGCACCTTTAACTGTAAAAAGAAATAATTAAAAGGGAATGCTCCAAAATGGGGTTGATTAATTTTGGTATGTATTATGATTCCTACTAATTATTGGTAGTTCTTTTTGTTTTAGTAGTAATTTAACTTAGTAACATCAATTTAAAACAAAATGCTTTACTGGTGTAGTCAAATTGTCATTTCATTATTATTATTTCTCTGTTATTGTACCCACTTTAAATTATTTTCTAAAATGATGAAATGCAATTAGTATTAAGAATTTTTATCCTTAATTATCTGAAATCTAATTCATTGGCTTGATTCACATTAGCTATGAAGGCTATATGATCACTGATCGCTTTTATAGAAATTAGTTTTTAAATTAATCGATCTATGAATTTCAGGTTCTGTACTAAACCTATTCATGGTAGGTTTTTTTTGGGGCGTTACAAATCCATTTTTAAAAAGAGGCACAGCTGGTGTTTCTAATATCCATGATGACAATAGATTTTTAAAAATGATAAAGGAAATACTGTTTCTGGCAACGAATTGGAAGGTGATGACATTAATTTTTATAGTTTACATTTATTACTATAAATTGATTATGACAGTGGTTTATAATTTTTTTTATTAAATATTTTGACTGCTCACAAATATTTTTTTTTTATTTTTTTTATTTGGGTTTTATACAACTTAAGGAGTCATATCCCCAACACCCAAAAGCCACTGCTCCCTGTCCATCCAATCTCCTTCACGAAGCCCTCTGGCTGCCATGCTTTCCTCCACGTCCTCTGTCCATTTCTTCTTTGGCCTTCCACGCTTCCTTCTTTCAGGTGGCATATAGTTATAAATTTTCTTTGGCCAGCGGTTCTCATCCATCCGCATTAAGTGGCCATACCACTTTAGCCGTTTGGTCCCGATCAGGTGAAGGATGTTCTTTTGACATCCGACCTTGTCTCTAATAGCTGCGTTTGGAATCCGCTCGATTCTAGATATGCCACAGCTTCTTCTCCAGAAATCCATTTCCATGGAAAGCAACTTATTTTCCAACTTTTTTGTCAGTGTCCAGACTTCTGATCCGTAAGTGGCTACGCTTTCTACAAAGGAATGGTATATCTTCTTTTTAGTTTCTAATCTTATTTCTTTACTCCATAGGGTTGAATTTATCGAACTTATTATTCTTTTCCCATTATTTATTTTATGTTCGATATCAACCTCACTACCACCCTTTGAAGATAACCAGTATCCGAGGTACTTGAACTGCTGGCTGACATTTAGCGTCCAGTCATCAATTTCAAGGGGCAAATTTGGAGCGTTGAAAACCATATACTCTGTTTTACTTTCACTGATTTTCAGACCCCATCTGGAATACGTGTCTAGCAACTTCCTCATCATATAGCTAACATCATCCGGATCCGATGCGATTTGCTCACAAATATAATATATGAAAAAAAAAAAAAAAAAAGAAGAGACATTCTTTAGGATGTTCTGTCAACATGTTTACCCATTTGTTAAAGACTTGCTATAAGGCTTAAGAAGGCTTCTTTAACTGATGTAAAATACTGTAGTTCTGCATCTACTTTAGGTGGCCAGGGCAATTTTGCTTACTATAAGTTACAACAAAATCGGGTCTTTCTGTGTTTCTGCCAATTCTTTTTAAAGTCTTTAGTCACGAATGTAGCTAACACAGATCAGACTCTCGAGATCCCCTCGGACAATAACACCGCAATACTAAACTTCGCAACTATAGTTGGCCGTCATTGATGCCACCTTCACAACTTGTTAGTTGCACTTACTGGTATTGCTTTTTTGGGTTCAAATGTTGTGAGTTAAGGTTTATTATCATTATTAAAAATATTCCCATCCACATTAACTAATATGGACTCTGTTGTCTTTAAAAATGAAAGCTATCAATTCTTTATGTTAAGTCCTTTCAGCAGTGGAAAGAGATCTACGTATTAAAACTAATGGCTTGTCCATCCCTTCAAACCATTGAAAAATTAATTGTGGATTGATGGTTGGTAATAGAAGAGATAGAGGTGAATAATAGAAGAGAAGAATGATTAGGACAATCAGTCAAAAAAGAGAACCGATCACCTCAACCATTTTTTTTTTACTGATCACTCCAACCATTCTTCTCTTCATTGAAAAATTAACGCTCTCAAACTGGAATCCACCGACGATACATTTATTTGGATATCTTCAATGTGCTTGTCCCCTAGAGACAGATATACAATAACGTTTGTCACAAATATTATGCACTGACAGGCAAAAAATTCCACCCACTTGATTTTTTCATGTTTTCATCTAAAAATATTTCTGCTTTGGATTGGTCTATTGTTTTTAATGAATAAATAGGTAATCTTTTTGTTTATTTTCAATTAGGAATGTTAATATAGAGGACAATAACCCTTAATCCTTAATTCAATGAAATGATTCTAGATTCCAATGTTTACTTTCTATGGAATCAAAATGTTTATTCATTATCATTAGTTCAGTGCCGTTTCTTGCAGCACATTTCTTAATTTCCGGCTTTTAATTTTTTAAATATTAAGTTTAAAAATGCCTCTTAGTGCTGAGGATGTTGCGCGTGGTGTGGCACTTATTGATGATGGACATTCTATTAGATATGCAGCTAATGCCATCGGAGTTCCATATGAAACTTTATGAGACGCCATCGGGCGTTTTGGGAAACTGGTTCTTACAATAGAAGGTCCGGTTCTGGACGTCCTAGGGTAACAGAACGGGATGACTGGTTTTTGACTTTGAGAATTTTACGGAACCGGCACCTTACCGTTGTTCAAGCGATTCATCAGCTTGAAGAAGTTCGAGATGTGCAAATTTCTGAACGTACCGCTCGGAGAAGATTAAATGAGTATGGATTGATGGCTTTTCGTCCAGTAAGAGGACCAGAGTTGACCAGAACTCACAGAGTAACACGGCTGGCTTTTGCTCGAGAACACAGCCATTGGATTATGGACGAATGGAGTGCTGTACTTTTTACAAATGAATCAAGATTCGCTCTTCGATCTCCAGATGGACATGAAAGGGTGTGGAGAAGAAGAAACAAAAGATATGCAGCCTGTAAATTTTCCCAGAGCCAACCTTTCCAACGTGGTTCCTTAATGGTGTGGGCTGGGATTTCAATGGAGCTCCGCACAGAATTGGTTGTTGTTCGTGGAGGGTCTTTGACGGCCATTCGCTATGTAGATGAGATTTTGGAACCTCATGTGTTGCCTACCCACAATGAAATCGGCGATCGTTCTATTCTAATGCACGCATAGTGCAGATGTTCCTTCAATAGAACAATATTGAGGTTTTAGCCTGGCCAGCACGTTCTCCAGATTTGGACCTCATTGAGCATTTATGGGATAACCTCGGAAGACGAATAAGAGCGCGTGCAACACTTCCTGATACACTGCAGGACCTTGAAAGAGCTCTTCGGGAGGAATGGGCTATCCTCCAGCAAAGGGATATTTCCCGACTGGTGGAGATTATGCCGAGGCGTCTTCAAGAAGTAGTGAAGGCAAGAGGAGAAAACACGCGCTACTAAACGACGATGTAATTAATTTCTTTTAGAATAGACTTTCGTTTTTCAATTTTTTTTTCTCTAATCTTTCTTACCCAATCACATTTTGATTATTAAAGGTAAAAAATATTATTAAATTCCATAAATACTAAGTATTATCTACAAATACCATGTATTATATACAAATACCATGTATTATATACAAATACAAATATTTTTAGATGAAAACATGAAAAAATCAAGTGGGTGGAATTTTTTGCCTGTCAGTGTATATATATATATATAACCTCAAGGACATTTCTCTTTGGGTGTTGCCCCTTTATACATCAGGGATTGTAGAATTTTTTTCCGAAGATGTATTCTTTATAAAGGTATACATAAAAACTAAGAGGTTGTTAGTCTTGTTGTTGCTGATCATTCATTTATTTGATTTATAGCTCCCTAAAATCAGTATTTCCACTCTTACCTTTAAGTTTTCATTTAATTATCTGAGTACTTATAGTATGTTCTATTATTTAAAATATATGTATTTATTGCTTTGATTTACAGTACATGACACCATTTCTGATTAATCAATGTGGATCAATCCTATATTTCATTTCCTTGAAAGATTCAGGTTTGAGGACTCTATTATAAATAGAAATGCTTAAAAACAAGAAAATTGTTGTGGGTTGATATTACTAATGCATTTCTATAATGGGATTTAGATTTAACATTGGCAGTACCCATTTGCAATTCATTGGCATTTGTGTGGACTGCTGTTGTTGGATGGTGGCTTGGCGAAGAAATCCCAAATAGAGGTAAGCATTTAGATCATTTCAGTTTTAGATTTTTTACATACATATGCAAATTGTTTGATTATGACTCAAGGAACCTTGCAAACAGAATTTATCGGAATGATTAATTCCAGGAGTTTCGAAATGCTCAAGATAATTAATTTCAGGTACCAAAAATTCACCAACAGTCATAGATAATTGAAACTAGGTTGTTGTTTTTTCACTACTTAATTAGTGTTTAACCCTCATATCAGAGATATAGCATATAAACCTGACAAAATTAAATATCATCCTAGCTTATGCAATACAATTGATACTTAGTGCCTGTGGAAGGAAGTATACATAATTATTTACTAAGTGTGACAAAATATCATGCAGAAGGATATGTTTTAGTGTAACTATGGTTGGTATGTTGTTAATCACAGTCTAAAGCTAAATATCAATGGAATTTTTAGGTCAGAAGAAAGCTATAAAATTAATTAATTAAAACTACTTGTCTATCATTGCAGATATTTTCATACATTTTCTGATTTCATACCACCGAAGCCTTAGCACATATAATATTTTTTCAAATTATGTTATTTTTTTGATGAGTTTCGTGATAAATGTTTACAATAAAATGCAGAATTTTTCCAAAAGATCCATTTTTCCCTCAATCATTAGAATTGTTTGATATTATACTAAGGTTGGTAAGCGAAAATTTTGTGATAGGCACCGCACCAGATTTTTTTGTCATGAGTTGTGCTAAAAAATCAGTTGGAGTCTCTGTATTAAAATAAATTAGATTTTTCTTTTATTTACAGCCTGTTCATACAAGTCTTACAACTTGTAGGCCTCCCATAAATAAGAGGATATAGTCTAACTTCCACAGGGACCAGCCGTACTGGGAAAGAAAAGAAAGCAAATGTTTCTAACAATACTTGTGGATGTGAGATATTCTTTGTTGTTCCAATCTTTGTATAGATATAGAGATTGTCTGGGTTTCCAACTCTAGAATTCGCTGCATATAATTGTCTATGTAAGATACAATCGATCTCTAAATCCCTCAAGAAAAAGTACTAAATGTTTAAAGCATTATATCTTTGCAACAAATCGTCCGATTTTTTACAATGATTTTTGAAAAATTAGTATAAACTTATGGAAGCTTTCAAATAATGATGGGTATAATCAAACAAAAATCAGTCCGATCAGTAAAGAAGTTTCGGAGATTAGTGGTTTTGAACCAGCGAACATTTACTTATTATTAATATAGATGTAAATAATCAAGGCTGTGCTGATATGAATCTAAGGTTTGTGCAAAAAATATGCACAATTCAACTACTATTATTATTTTAAAAATATTTCTTTTGCAGCTTCTCAGGTTGGCATGATGATGATTGCTTTTGGAATATGCTGCTACCTGATGGCATAGAAAATGGAGTTTCATAGAAAGGCATGTTCCGTATTCATTCTCAAGTCACTTACAAAATGTTTCTATTTATTTGCTAACACTTCATTAGGATAAGTATCTTTGTAATTGATATTTATTAGATTCCATGAAGTATATTTTTGCTGAATAAACAACTTTGGTATAGCAATTTTATATTTTGGTGACTTCAATGAATAAATTGAAACTAAAATTACTTCAAAAATATTTATATTTTTGTATTAATATAATTATTATTAATTATTCTGGGTCTTTAGAAAACTAATAACATCCTATTATCTGTTTTTATTTAAAAAAATTAAATTTGTGATCACATTTATTCACTTATTTGTATAAATAAAGTTGTTTACCCTCATAAAATTGAATAATTCTTGCTTGGTAAATAACTCTTGAAAGAAAATTTTAGTGTGTTTGCATTACCTTAAATATTTGTAACTTATAGCATACATGTCGAGGGTGAGATGTTTATTTTTTATTGTTTGAATTGTGATTTTTATGAATTCTTTTCAAGTTTTATCTGTTATTAGTAGTTCAGAAAGTACTGAAGAAGACCATTGATCTTGTGATTGGTGAAAGCTAATAATTAAAATGTTTTGATTTGTATATGTTTTACTTTTATTACCTTAAGTTATCCTTTTTCTTTAGCATATTTCATCTCCTTAAAAAGTGATTAATTTAAAAACATAAATAATGTACTGCTTACAAAGTTACAATAACAACAAATAAATGACACAAGAGCTAAAGCTGTTGTTTAATTGATTGAAGTAAAATATTAATAATAATTCTTCTGTAATAGTGACATTTTGGAGGAATTATCCTAACTTACAAGTTAGTGTACAAAATTGAAAGAATTCTAAACAAATCAAAAGTTATTTGAATTTGAATTGATATAGAGGAGAAAAGCTTTCCCCTCCTATAGCTTAATGTGCCAGGTTTCTTCTTTAGTTCTTTTTTAAGTTCTTTGGCTTTAGTTTGACAGTTTTCGAGTAACTAGCTTCCTTCATTCTCATGTTTTGTTCCATGATTTTTAGCAATTCAAGCACAAACAACAAAATCCTGTTTACAAAATGAGTTTTCTTACTAGGCCAGCTTCATCCACTTTAAGTGTAGGAATTATTCTATCTTTCTTTTGTTCTAGTTAACAGAAATTATTTTTTCCGTTTTCTGAATGACTTCTAAGATATGAAGTAGTACGATAAATAAACATAATGAAACAAGAAAGAAAAATAATTAGTTTCATTGATCAGTTGATGTGAAAGGTTGTATTTCTACCCTGGCTCACAGAATTTGCTTTTTTATCTGTGTCATGTCTAGCCATAAAATAAAAAAAATAAAAAATGATGCTTTACATTAAGTTTGGTGCTTTACATATCTTTCACTTATCCCCTTACTTTCAGTAGATTGTTTTGTTTTTTTAAGTTGATAAACCTTCTTCCTCAAACTCCTGGGTGTTGTCAAGCATGGAGTTGTAGTCTCAGTCCATATAGGCCATCTGGTCCTGTCCCTGGATAGTCTTCTCTTCCCTGGTATGGTGTATCCTCTGGCTTTCCTCAGTTTTCTGGGTTTACATCAAATCTCTGGTACTGGAGCTAATGTTATTCTAGTCCTTTCAACCCTATAATTTCCCTTACCTTCCTATGGGATCAAGTTATATTCCCCACGGCTCCACCAAGACCAAATCAGACAAGTTCTACTTTCTTGGACTTCATAGGTTAGATCTAAAGTTTTCTAAAATTTTCAGCTTTGATAGTAGAGATTGTAAAAAAAAAGACAAAGAAAACAATATACATGTATTTGAACAATGAGAGATTAAAAAGAATATAGATATCTAGTTAAAATTATAAGAACTAATTCCCTATCACTTAATATATATTTTTGACATTTTTTATTTCTTATATTGCTTCCTCACTATGGAAGGTAGAGAAGACATTTTTGTACTCAGATTCCAAAAATTGTCGCTCACATTTAATGTTTCAGACATCAAGGATCGAATTTGGTTCGTTGTGTGTCGTATCTTTTTTTGTTATTTTTTTTTCCTGTCTGTTCTTCCCTGCCCCACCTTTTAGACTATACGGGATTTTCCCGGGCCGGAGGGTGAGGGCGGGGAATTTAAAATTCCCTTTGGCACCGGGACGCGAACTCTTGCTTTTTTTACAATCTCAAAACTTGGTTATCTGGTTGCCAGGCAACTAGCGGTGCTGTTACACAACACGCTTTAGCCTATTCGGCCATTGTATCATTTATCATATATCAGGTTGCCGGGCAACAGTGGTGCTGTGCACAACCCGCCCATGGATTACGAGATGTGATCTTCTGGACCACATCCCGATTCCTGATTTAAGTACAGGGGGGTGGGTTATCAGTCACACGTTAGTCCATTCGGCCACCCCGTCCCCTTGGTGTGTATCTATCTGTAGTCAAATCGATGAGAGGATGGGTACCCCTGAATGGAAGTATCTGATGCTTTCAAAGTTGTTACTTTCACAGGCTTTAGTTTAAATGTGATTAAGCTGCTCAAGTCTAATCAGCCAACTAAAAAGTCTGTGGAATGCTCACTTCATGTAATCTTCTCAGTAATTAAGCCATCTGACAGAGCTATTAGCTGATACAAAGTCTTTAGGCTTAGCTCTATCATGAAAGGATCAACCTAAACATTACTTTCTTTTGACCGGAAACTCTTGGAAAATGAGAATTGCGTGACGTCCTTAAATATATTTTGTCCAAGCGATAGTGGTACATGAACAATAAAATTTCGTGATGGGTGCCGTTTGAAGCCTTGGTATGAAAAATAAAAACCAATTGCTATGTACCTTCTACCTATTATCCCTGATACTTTGTAGAAGTTTAATATAGTTATAAAAAATATTGCTAGAATTGTTTCCTTATAGATATTCACTGCAGTGATATCCCTGTGATTATGTTGCTTTGTTTGTTTTTTTTATTATTATATTTGGTTTTCTTATTTTTTCAAACTTCCTGTGTTAGTTTTAATGCTTAAATTTTGAATTTCTATATATCAAATCTTGATATCTTATATAATTAAAATGGTTATATCTGATATAACCATTTTCAATTTGATCTTGACTGATTGGAAAATGATCGTGTTTATCTAAAACTTGATTCTTCGATGTTCCTAGGAAATCAAGGGACACAAAATAATATATTATACATAGGTTTTGATGGGATAACATAGAATATAATTAGCATATGATTCTTTATTGAAGATAGAGAGATGTGAAATTCACGAGGTTATGTAAATAGATGGATTTTAAAATTGAATTCCATTAAACGCTGAATATGATAGATATAGCTGAAATTTGTCTTCAGACTCCAGAAATGCTAAAATATTGTTTCTATTTATATTAAATCTAACTATCCTAAAAATCTCTCCTGGTTCAGGTTTCTGTTGTGCATCAATTTAGTTGACGTTTTTATAACGTAATCAACTATTAATTTCCAGGTTTCACCTCATCATCTTACTCGTAAATCCTGAGGACATCGAGACTCATTTCCTAACAGTGGAAGAATACTGGGCTCTTCCTAATATCTCACTGGTATACTCATGTTAGACAAACTGCACAATGGTTGGAATGATTTTAACTTCTTCTTCAACTTACCGTCGAGTCTACATCTTTGTCAATCGATCTGAATGAATAATGTCATCATTCCTGAACTATCAACGTCAACAAAGACATGGTATTATTTGTTATTTAGTAGGCTTCCCGCCGTGGTCTTTTAGTTTTCAGTTATTACAAATTAATAGGAAATGGCTGTGTTTCATGATGAAATCGAGATAGAAGATTTCGATTATGATCCAGAAGAAGAAACTTATTATTATCCTTGCCCTTGTGGAGATCGGTTTCAAATAACCAAAGTAAGTTTAGAGCCTAGTTACCTTAACTTATAAAAAAACAATTTGACTGAAATAACTTACAATTTTGCTTTGTATTTATAATTCATTAGTCTAATACTTAACCATCTTTTAACTTACATTCCATAAATGTATTATTAGAATTGACACTTATAGAGTGCTTTTTATCCTTCTGACTTACTACAATTGCATCACAATTACTAATGTATCTTCTGAATAGAATGTTCATTTACCAAATAGCCATGAAAATTATGTGGTGTTTTATGTTTAGTCACTTAGATATAAATCTACAGGACAGGTTCAACCTACTTGTGGTATGAGTACATTCCAAGTTGGTAACTATAGTTGTGTTTGCTATTTCGTTAAACGAATTAAGAAGTATTATACTCTGCATTGTAATATATATATATCTTGTACGCAGTTGAATATTGACAATTATGTTCACATACACATGTCAGACATACCCTTAAAGCATAGTCCTTATTATCATTATTATTAAAGCTGTTAACTCCTGTTAGAGGATAAGGCACTTACAAGTGCTTTCCATTCTTCTTATTTCCGGGAATTATTTTTGTTTCTGGTTAAATCTTGCCAGCTCAACTCAGGTCATGTCTAGATCTGTGCATTGTCTCTGGTTTTCCTTTTGTTTCTTGGGGATTCCATTGAAGAGCTTCTTTTTCTATGGCACTATCTGCTCTCCTTAAAATGTGTTCTATCACAAAGTACTCATAGTTTCGCCAAGATTGCAAAGAAAGGGATGTACTAAAGAAATAATGGAAAATGTTTTAGATTCTCAGATGCAGAAAATGTATTTGTTTATAGAGATTGCTAATCGAAGCATTTTATTGGTTACAATCTACAGTGTGCTAAATGTTATCTTGAAACCAAAAATCATCTTGGAGTTGCAATTAGAAACTACTGCCTTTGAATTTTTTTTTATTATTTCCAAACTTTATTTTAGGCACATGTTAATTGCTTTGAAGGCATTAACACAGTGTGGGTATTGGTTGAAAATTTCTGATCTATAGTGTTTATATGGTACAGAGAGCTCTCTTCTTTTGAGGTTCATTCTTTTGTTATGTTACAAATTTTAAGATTCTAGTTCTCAAATGTCACATCTAATCAAGATCATTTTTTTCTTTCTTATGCCATAGTCATTGGTCATTTGACCATCTAACGTCTTGCTGTCCAGTATAAGTTTGATTTTTTTTATATAATCATTCACAAATATTTTATTTCTTATGTCCGTCAAAGCAAGACATTTGTCTAGGTGGTCTGCATCCATTTTTGCTTGACATAATTTACACCTAGGATCCTCAGCCACGCCTATCTTGTGGAGATGACTTTGTAGATAGTCGTGACCAGTGGCCAGGTGGAAGCAGGCTACTGTATCTGTTCTTGGTAGGTCAGCTGGGATCGGGTTTTACACCAAACATTCATAACGTCTCCCTTCCACCTTGTCTTTTGTCTATATTTTTTGTTTCCTCTTTTACTACCATCCTCACTATTCTTCTGATTGAATCGTAAGATTTTGGATGGACTGTTTGAGACAATTCTGTTCCTCTCCTGGCGAAACTATCTGCTTCCTCATTTTTTGGAATACTGCAATGGCTCGGAATCCACTGCAGGACAACATTGGTGCCTCGGAGTGTTAGATCGTAGAGGAGGGATTTGCACTCCAAGATAGCACTCGACAGACATTTATTCACGTCAGTAATAGCTGCTTGAGAGTCGACAAACAGAACAGCGCTCTGAACTTGTCTTTCTGATAGTGTTCTTAGGGCTATGAGGATCGCTACTATCTCACCATCAAAATTCATATTGTACTTAGAATCCTTGAAGTAGCTGAGTTTGTCTGGACTTATGATAAAACTGCTGATTTTGGATCCTGATCTCAATGAGAAAGGACATATTGGTGGTTTGTCAATCGAACCCACTAGTGAACACTTCTGTGTTTCATTAGTGTTACAACACTCGGTTATTTTTGGAATTCAATCTAATATGCCCAAAGTGATCATGGACCTGCCAATCAGAAGTGATTCTTGTGGACTATTATTATTATACCTTTATTTACTGTTATTAATGAAACCTTTCTGAGTAGTGATAAATAATGTTGGATAATATGAGTCTTAACTACACAGTTAATGAGATCAAGTTATGTTGAATTTATCAATTCCAACCTTGACAATGAACTATTATTTAGTTATACAATATTTTCATAAAATTGTTCTTTCTCAGGTCTTTTTATTGGTGTTTTATTATTATTCTACATTATTTTATTTAAATAATTGTTCACTTTATGATTGATTGACTGTTTGATAAATAAATTGACAGTATTTGTTATTTCCGAAATCTTGAAAAAATATTTTTGAAATGTTTACAGGAAGAACTGGCTGCTGGCGAAGAAATTGCTACTTGCCCCAGCTGCTCCTTGATAATTAAAGTTATTTATGACATAGTAAGTATGCTAGGATTTGAATAACTGGAATATTTTTATTTTTAGACACGGTTTGATAATAGTTTTATTTTTGCAGGAAAAATTCAGTTCAGAAGCTGAAGAAATCAAAACACCCAAGACCAAGGAAACTATTAAAATTTAAAATAAGTAATACATGATAAAATTGGATTTAATTAGATATTTTTATCAAAATACTAAAGTTACCAGTAGCTTTTAAATACTCATATTTTTTAATATATCTTAAAATAAAGAATTTTGTTTTTATTAAAGTATTGTTTGTCATAAAATTCCTAATTCATCCTGAATTTTAGAAACTACTCTGACTATGAGAGGTGGATTATAAAAAGTTTTTATTATCAATACCAAGCTTAAACTTTTAGAGATATACATGTTAGCAAGTCCTAGAGCATAGGTTCTTAAACTCTAAGAACTCCTATCCTAGAGGATTAGGTTATAATTGAAGTATATCTATATCACAGCTTAGAAATAATACACTATCCACTGCTGTGCTGTTCTACTTACTTTCTTAAATTGAAACAGCCTTAAATTTTAACAACCTTAAATTTTTTAAGGAACCGAACAATTGAAATTAGGGTAACCCAGAAACAGCTTAAAATTTCTTTAGGAACACAAGAAATGTGCATTATAAAGTCTTCGATATCAATAAATGCAATGTTATGATCTTTCATACATCTAATATTCTCCATGTTAATTGATTTTCGTATGAGAATGACAGGTTTGTGATCCTAATATTATCTCAAGTAGTTTGAAAAAACAGGTTTATATTAATTAGTCATATTATCTTTGGAAAATTACAATTTAAAAACTAGAGGAGGCCTATGCTCTATGGTGTAGATATATCAGCCACATAGTTAAAATGAAAATTGCTCCAACTGTTAAATAGAAATAATAAAGATGTAAAACAAATACTATAAATACTTATGTAGTTCTCTTCAAAAATTATTTTTTGTTTTTCTCATTGTGGTTGAATGAAATATACCGTTAGCTGCAGACAGTGGCTGCTTTCCAATTCCGAGATATGCCATCTTTTGTGTAGACATAAACCAGATTTTTAAATTCATTATTAGTAAAATTATGAGATTCTGACAAAGTGATAATAATATAACAGCTTAACTCATAGGAGTGAGTAGGTACTATTCTTTTTTTAAAGAACTTTCAGATTAGATAAGAAGGAGGAAGATGAATTGTTTTCCGGAGCCATCTGAAGTAGTATAAAACTCCCATGATTTGGTCAGAATAATAAATTCCTCTGATGTTTTTCAAGGGCTAAGTGACAGGAGGAAAGCAAAACAGACCTAAAGGTACTGCTTCGCTGGAAATGAAGACCTAGCAGTTACGCACTAGTGGAATAGAAAAGGTACTGCAAAGTATGCTCCTTTCTATTCCACTAAAGCACTGCTTAACTGCTAGCAGTCGGCACGGTGGGCAGTACCAACAAATTATTACTTTAAGATGGTATAGTTACCAATGATACCAGAGCAATGTTAGGAATAAGAAACTGTTCAGGATAGCACTAGCACTGAATATGATCACCAGGCATTAGCTGCTTCTGATTCTGAAGGGCATGGATTAATAATGGATTGAATAAGAAACTATATGCTCAAGTTAAGGACTTTTTTTTTCCAAGAATGTTTAAAGTTTTGAAGTGTATTTATATTTGTATTACAGTTTTCAAGTGTATTTATATTACATTTACAAGATCAAAAATCTTGAAAACGGAAAAAATATAAATGTAATTTAACATATCAAAAAATAGGAATTTATTTGGTTTAAACTGAGCAGATTATTATGTATACTAAGTGACAATTCTATTAATAATCTCTTGCTACTTATTAACCACAAGAAGGATGGGAGAGGAGAAAAAGAAAAGCTATATTGTAATAATATTTTATCTTTTATGTTATTATAACAGCAATTCATTTTACTGATGAAGGACACTTAGAATTCAATATAGTAGTTATTAAATAAAGCTTCTAGAAGTTAAATAATTCCTATAAGGTATATGAATAAAGTTAAGTAACAGTTTACTCTCCCAAAAAAATTTGGCTTTATTTTTATGACGTTTCGGGATCACTTTATTATCCCATCTTCAGACTAGAAACAATTATTAAAATTGTTACAATTAAATAATTCATTTATAATTAACATAAATAATTCATTTATAATTAACGTAAATAATTCATTTATAATTAACGTAAATTTTTTTTTAAAGTCGAAAAAAAAACAAAAAAAAAAAACCGATAAACAAATATGTGTAAATAATCTCTAAAAAATATAACATTACTCAAAGTACAATGACATATGAAAAATTAATTTTAATTTCTTTAAAATTTAAACAATGTTAAAAAAAATTGCTTGGATGAACTATTTTCCTGAGGCTTTATTTTCAATGACATTGATAATAGGAAGTTAAACATGGCAAATTAAAACTATAGACAATTAGCAGAAAAAAATATTTTTATTTATGCAGCTATAATAAATTGAACAGTAAACTGACAGGTAAGCTTAATATAACATAAGCACACAAATAATTGCCGGCTCATTAACAATTTCTTTTAAAAACTTTCTTAGTATATATATGCTCTAAATTTCTAATTCAATATGAATAAATATATGCTGTATAAATAGTTCAGAAAATACAACTTAACATCTAATTTTAGGTTACATTACTCACACGACTAATTATATACCTTTTCATGCAGCCTTGAAATACCCTTGAGGTTATTTGCTTCATGAATATGTTGTTGGTTGGTAGTATATAAGGTAAACATTCCAACGTTTCACAATTTTATTTGTTAGTATAATTTTTTTTCAATTTTTTTTTATTCTGATTTACTGTATATTACATTATAACAACAGTAAGGAAGAAATTTCAAATTATAATGAACTGTTATAGTTACGGTCAGTTCTTATAATATGAATCTTATATTCTGCTTATTGTCATTATTTTGGTATTTATGTGAATTTAACAACACAATTTTGTTAGTTTTTAATTCAATGCTAACATTTATATTTACATTATTTCCTAATGTACTTAAAAAAAAATTCTCGTGTACAGAATTAATAACACATGCATTGGTAACTGATCCTACTACATCTTCTCACATTTTAAACTGCCTATACAATGTTCCTTTATGTTGGTAATATTTCATACTGTTTTATGTTTATCGTCTATAAAAATACTTATAACATTTTCATCTGAATTTTACAAAATAATCTATTAAAGTAAAGTAGAAAGTCTTAAAAGATACAATCAGAAATAATTGAGAACTGATCTAATATCCAATTTATGAGAAGATAATAAAAAATTAAAATTTATCTTTTAAAATAGAATATATTATATCAATCAAAATAAATAGTTCATACTTTTGAAAAACAAAGTAAAATTGTACTTATCAATTCTCAATTAGATAATACCAAATAAATGAAAAGATATAACTTAAAATATTTGTATCATTGACTATAAACATGAGATATTTATATATAAATAAACAGAAGTGTTTACTAAGTAAACCCGTCTGTGAACCATGACTAGGATTGTAATTGGTTTAATTAAAGTTAACGAGCATGGTTCTTGCAGAATGGTCTTCCTGCCTTTGCGTAGAAACTTTGCCCTTCGAGGTTCTTTTTACACATCTAAAAAATAAAAATAAAATTAATAGATGTTAGATTTTATAATTATTTTTTAAAAATATCTTTACTACATCTATTACCAGTTTCAAGGCTGATATATTTTAGCGATATATATATATATGTATAAATATACATACCGTGCAGTTAAAACACTGGCTATGATAGTTATTGTTAAGAGCTTCTACCCAGCGATCACCAGCTTCAATTGGGAACCCACAGGAGAAGCATTTAGTTGTAAACAATTCATTCCAATCTGTAAAACAATGTTATAATAATAATTAATAAACATATATAGAAAAATAGGTTTTAATAAAAAAAAAATTAATAATATATAAAGAAAAATAATCATTGCAAGATAAACGATAGATTCAAATATCAACTATGTACATTGTCTGCAAAGCAAATATAAACTCCAAATTTTCTTTAGTTTAAATCTTCAATAACAAATGTCTCATGTTTAATTATAACTGTGTCACTTTTTCTATTTTCTCTTTTAATAAATAATATTTCTAAATACTCGCTGATTCCATGTTAGTAAGATTTCAAAGGTGGATGTTGCTTAATTTCTATGCTTTGGAATCAGACTAAAATGGCCAGAAGCAATAATAAAGTTAATAAAAGGATAAAAATTGAAAAATATATTTTGCTGTTTTAACTTACCAGCTTCGCAATAAGGTAGAGAATCCTCCAAAAAGAAGGGGTTGTTTCCGAATAATTTTCCACAGTAGGCACAGGCAAAGCACTCTGGGTGAAAATGTTTTCCTATCGCATTCAAGCAATCCTGCAAGCATAATATATTTGATAAAATGATACATAAGAAGTAAATGCAGATCACTACCAGTAATAATTTTTTTTTACCATTAGGATCAACCTATTTTTTTATTTTAAATTTTTGACTTTTAATTAATTTGTTTCCCCTATTTAATGGTATCTTCAAAACTGGTTAACAATTTTTTTAGGGCTCATACATTTTTCTTTGAGGCCATTTATTATTGACTTATGAAATTTATATTTTAGGAAAATCTCTCTAACTCTAGTAATTAAGTAAATATCAGACCAAATGTGAACTAAAATTATGATGATTTTTTCTACATTTTTGTTTTTCATTACATTATCTAAGGAAGAAAAGTGGTTAAAAAAAAAAATGAAAAGACTCAACTTTGATTTTTTATTTCTTGTATAACTCTAATTAGAATTTTAAGAAATTTAAATTTTAAACTCTTCATTTTTAAATATATATTTTTTAAAATGGTCTAAAGTCCATTTTGGTGGGTTTTACAATTGAATATCACCAAAGACATTGAATAAAAAGCTATGGAACTTATACATTTTATATCTTTTTATATGAAGACCACAGAGCAAAAATGTGGTGACTGAGACTCAATTAATGGTAGAATTATATTTTATCAAATGTGGCTAAAAATTGAGTTAACTAATGATTATAATGTTATAAACCACAATTTCCTAATTTTGCGAATAACAAATAGATTAGTATGGGAAAACAATAAGGTAAATCAAAGATGAATCTCTTTTACAGCACTAAAATTCTCGATGTACGTTAATTTTCACATTTTATTTCTAACACTTTTCTCCTTTTTTTTTTTTTTTAGGTTACTTGTTATAACAGTATATAGATTTTAAAAAGTTTAGGTTTTAGCCTCACAAATTATGAAAACCCACAATTTGCTGTATTATTTGATTGTATCAATAAAATAATTTTTCACTTAGAGGAAGAAATGATTGTTATAATTTATATACTATTGCTTTAGGTAACTTTTTTTTTCTTCTCTTCCTCGACTTTGAGACTATATGGGATTTTTGTTGTGGGAAATTATTTTATTATTTCTTATTTATTAATTTTTTAAATAAGATGTGTATGATGAAGAAGGAACTAATGATTTTAAAACTCTAAAGGTAGTTGAAGATAGTTATAGTGAGCCTATAGAACCTGATAAGAAGACAAAAAAGGAACAGAACAGTAAGGTTTGGTTTTCTGAACTGAAAGCATTTGCTACCAGTAATAACTTTGGATTTAGCAGAAAGAGAATTAGATGGCAAAAGAATTATATCAGATGTAAAGATTGAATTTACTGATGATGCTCCTAAAGATAAAGAACTTGGATCTAAAGCAGCAGACCTAAATATAAAAAAAGTCCCAAAACCAAGAATGTCAAGGAGTCAGGGTGAGAAAGAAGTGTGAAATCCGTTACAGAAAAGATGAACAAATTAAAAGTAGACAATAAAGCCTCTGAAGAAAACTGGAAATAACACTAAACAGGCAAAAAAATGTCAAATCTCAAAGTCTCATTGAATTGAATATTCCTGAAAAATATAAGCATAAATATGAAGGGGGAGGGATTCTGGTATCCGGACTACTGGAACCCTCCTAAATCGAATGATCCAAATACTTGGATATGCGGACGACATTGATATAATGGGAAGATTGTTTGCGGCAGTACAGGAAGCTTTTACAAGTCTGGAAGAGTCGGCAGCCAAAATTGGTCTTATTATCAACGTGTCCAAAACAAAATATAAGTCCACCCTATCCTCACGTCTAACAAGGGAAAACCAAGCATGGCTGGAACAGCGCGGAATCGAGAATGTTAACGAATTTGTATATCTTAGTTCATTGATAAATGCACGAAATAACACTAATTGTGAGATAGACAGGAGGATCGCAGTGGCTAATCAGTGCTATTTCTCCCTCCAGAGACACCTTCGCAGTAGAATATTGTCAAGATAGGCCAAAATAAGAATATATAAAACTCTTATTAGACCAGTACTCACATATGGCTGTGAGAGTTGGACCTTAACTAAAGCAGTTGAGAAATCCCAGCTCAGATTTGAAAGGAGGATTATACGACGCATATTTGGAGGGGTCCAGGAAACACCACAGAATTGGAGGAGAAGAATGAATTTGGAAATAAAGACATTGTTTAATGACCTGGATGTGAGCCAATTCATCGTACTGCCAAGACTACACTGGGCGGGACATGTCGTGCGGATGGATATGAATGCACCCCCACAGAGGGCTATGAATGAGCCTGTGTTAGGAAACAGACAAGTGGGAAGACCATGTTTGCGCTGGCAAAACTGTGTGGCTGCTGATGCATGTAGACTACTTGGTGTCAGAAATTGGAAGGCTGCAGCAACTAACCGGGAGAACTGGAGAACCATGCTGGAGCAGGCCAAGTCTCAAATAATTGGGATGTAGTGCCATTTAATAATAATGAAGGGGGAGGAAGAACTAATTGTAACAGCAGAGCCAGCCAAGAAACTTACTCACAAAGAAAAAAATAAATGAAAGAAAAAGCAAGATAATCAGAAACTGATGGAAGCATGGATGAAAATTGGTGGACAACGACAAGGAAGGCAAATGCTCAACATAAACAGGAAGTTCATCAGAATGCAGTTGAGAAAGGAGAGGTCAAAATTATCTAAAAAGAGACAAAGGACCAATTAGGAAACATTTTAACTAGGAATGTGGCTGGACTGGTAAGCTAAGAAAGGTAGGAATAATAAAAGAAATTTTGGGAAGGAAATTGTTTTGGAAAATTACTTTATTTTTTCTTATTTATTAATTGTACAAATGAGGTGCGTACGTTATTAAAGTAAATAGTTTGTAATGTATAAATAAATATAACAATGAAGGTGGCAACACTGGTTCAGACCAATAGAAGGTTGGGAAAGCTTCAGCTTAGGATCACTGGTAGCCTCCATTAGAGTAACATCAAGTCTTAGGCTGTTTTGTTTTAATACCCCACGATACCATAACAGTTTTTCCCGGTTCAGGGGAGAGGGCGGAGAAGAAAATTAATCATCTTTGTTTCTTTAAAATATTTTATATAAATGACACTAATTAAAAATAATGAATGTATTGAGAGAAATCCATGGTTATATAAAAATGACATTGAATAAATGGTACATTTTTGAAAAATTACTTACTCCTTTTATCTTGGAGTTGCACTTGTCACATGATGGAGCCAGGAATTTCTCAAAGCAGAATTCACAGTAAAGACCATCAGCTTCTTCTACGAAACCAATATCTTGAAGAGGCCTACTACATTTTGCATTAACACATACAAAATGTTCAGGACACCAGATCTTGCCCAAAGCTGTGATGAAAGGTCCCCTGAGCAGTTTTAATTCTATTATAGATACTACACAATTCTTAGAATGAAATGTAATACAATTTACAATCAAATGAAATTAGCTCAGAAATCTATGTACACAATAAGGAACCAATTGACACTTTTTTAAAATTCTGTTTTATAAGTGAGATAGATAATTTTTTTTAAAATGTTCCTTTTGCAACAAATAGCCAAGATATAACATTAATGTAGACAGAAGTTGGGTTTTTTGCATGATTAAAATTATTGATATAGCTTATAAACATTGGTTGGTCCCTTAGTGCATAATTGGGTTCAAATTAAAAATAAAAACAAATTGTTAACAGCTGACATATTAGGATGTCCCATAAGTTCTTTTCTTTTCCTTTATTTGTTGTTTAAGGTTGATTTACTGAGGTATATATTAACCGTTCTGCCCTATTACCTTCTTCCATCTCTCAGCAAGCCTCTTATATCCTTTATCCACGATTGTTAAGGTTTACTTGCAAAATATTTATTGAGATGCATTTTTATTTTGTTTTCTAGATTGTGATATTTATCAGAGAGAGAAATTTTTAACAAAAAAAACAAGCAATAGTCAGGCAAGGTCTGGAGAGTACGGATAATGAGGTAGAATGTTCCAATCAAATTGTAAGAGTTTCTGTCTGACGGCCAATGAAACACACAGCATTGGCCGTAAAACAGAAGCTCTTACAATTTGTTTGGGATGTTCTAGCTCATCCTTCGTACTTTCCAGACCTTGCCCTGTCTGACTGATACTTTTTTTTTTCTCAAAAAATGCTCTCTGTGATAAATGTCAAAATCCAGAAAACAAAATAAAAACACATCTCTATAAATATTTTGCAAGTTTCAACAATTTTGGATAAAGGATATAAGACGCTTCCTGAGAGATGGAAGAAGATAATAGAGCAAAACAGTTCATATATAACACAGCAAATCAACCTTAAACAACAAATAAAGAAAAAGGAAAGGACTTATGGGTCAACCTAAATACATCATGTACTATGAATGATATTGGTGTTTTAGGTAAAGAATCCATCAGTATGTATGAAAAAAACTATCCTTCTATATTTAATTTCAAATATCTGATAAAATATAGATATGAACAAAAAATTTAACATGATTATAATGAACGATAAAAAATGTTGGTTATAACTTGACTGATAAAAGGTTTATTACTATAAGTAGGATCTATTCCTCTCTCTCTGTCTCTCTCTTTTTAAAATTATTTTCTTCTTTTCTACCCTCAAGCTACTGCAAGGCTTGAAGATTTAGCCTTGGTTTTAGTCTCTCTCTCTCTCTTTTTAAAATTACTTTCTTCTTTTCTACCTTTAAGCTGCTGCAAGGCTTGAAGGTTTAGCCATGGTTTTAATTCTTGAAGTTAACATATGTTCTGTAAATCTGATATACTCCTAGCAGGAATTTCGAAATAATTTATTATATTTTACCCACAAATAATTAAACTTATAATTCAATATTTTAAAGAAACTCAATAAAAATTGATCTGATTGGTTTGCTGAATTTGAACATTTAAGTTAGGTAATAAGTTAGTAATCTTGAGCTTTGAGAATAAGACGTGGATATTGAAAGTTTTCTTTTTATTCTAAATTTCAACATTTGTACTTCACTTTTAATAATAATCTAGTTCAAAAGAAGTAATATTTTATGGTGACGTGTTGTATTACAACCCATGTAGGATCTTGGGTTCAGTACTTAGTAAGGAGTCATTGTTTTTAAGCCAACCGCAGTGCAAGAAGATAATATGACCGAGATCATGCTCAACTACCACTACCAGGTTTCCCCCCCAATTTATTAAGAAAACCCACTTAAATAGAGCTGGCTGTGCCCCAGACTGATCTCCTGTCCACAGGTTCGAACCAGATCTAACAGAATAAATAATTATCTGCCACTGGTGGACACACCTGGGAAAGGTAGAATAGGAGCACAAAGAGTACTCACTTTTTACTTTCCTACCCATACTAGGCTGAGGAAAGTATTGCAATCGGATCAAATTTCGGATAAGCGGTTTTCAACGGATCTATACGTTTCAGAGCTCCCTGAGTTGGAAAAACACATTTTTAACCATTGGTCTGTCTGTCTGTCTGTGCCAAGATTTTCTCGGAAACTACTGAACCCATTTTATTGATTCTTTTTTTATTTTGTAGGGTTTCGACTACTGATGCCTGTGACACAAATTGGGTGCTCCATGTGCAATAATGGCTGCGCAATAAATGAAAAACATGTTTTTCTATAGACTATAGTGCAAAAACGGCTTCAAAGATTTTGATGAAACTTTCCTATAATGTTATAATAATTGTCCTTTCAATTTTTGTACATGTACTAAATTCTCGAGAAAATTCAGCAAAAAATATTATAAAGAAAAGAAAAATGTTTGGGCCCTAACTCGCTGAGTATATATTCTATGGTAAAATTTGTAATATAATTTTTGAAAGGTAATTAAATTACCAACAAATAAAAAAAAAATCATCGGAATCGAACCAGTATTAGCAATGATACAGCATATTCTACACATATTTTAATTTATTACTTTCCTACCTATACTAGGTAAGAAAAGTATTGCAATCCAAAAAAACACCGTTTAGCCTGTTTTTTTTGAAAGGTAATGAAATTCTCCACAAAACTACATCAAAATCGTTTATTTCGGACAACTATTAACGAAGTTACAGCTATTCAATTTCCAATGTAAGATTATGGGTTCACATCCTGGTAGTGTCAGAAAGCGATGAATGAGAGAGAAAAAAGATAACTAAGTGAAAATTAGAAAATCTGTTGCCCGCATCACTATGTCTATCATATATATTTTCAGGAAAGTTAATGTAATTCAATTTTTTTTTCTATTATTTGACATATGTAAAGATATAAAAACTTTTCTGAAATAGGTGTGAAAGTCGTGTGAGTGGACACAGCAGATTGTTTTTCTTGAAAGCTTCATATAAAAAACAAAAATTGAAATTTTCCTTTGCTAGTATTTTATTTTAAATTATCGACAAATTAAATTGAAGCCAGTTTTATATGAATTATCTTGAAAGATGCTAAGGGATTATTCTTTACCTATATTACTATAATATTGTTTCTGTTATTTATTATAGTAATTTTTCACCAATTTAATTATTTATGATTGTTATATGCGAATAATTTAGTTACCTGGTTATTTTTTTATCACATATGTTACACACTCTGTAAGTTGATTCCTGTAATGTTTCTAATTCTGTTAATGTTTCAGACAACTCGTTCACAACTGAGTCATGCACTGTTACAAAATAAAAATAGAAGAAAACTTTAAAACACACAACAATAATTAACTAAATTATTCAAAATAATTAAGCACCCAGTGAAATTAAGACTTGTTTCAATTCATATGTACAAATAAAAAAAATTTAAATTAGTTTGTAAATGAATTTTCACTTCAAAGCTTTTGGACTAATTGTTAAAAAAAGTTGATTTTTATTATATAAATATTAACAATATTTGTATTTCATAGTTTCAGAAACCATCGATATAAAATAAAAAACTGCAGGAGTGTTATTTAAGTACATTTACCTCAGCATTAAAAGTTTTGATTTCACTGGTAATTAAGTTATGTCAATAAAACTTTGGTTATTACTTAAGGCAAACCTTAAAATCGCAATAAAACACAAAAAACTGATTGTTAGTGATTAATATCAATATGTGAAAGAAAAGAGTAATACAAAATGGCACACTTTTAATTTTTTAATCCTAAATTCAATATCCTAACATTGATATATTTCAGTAATACATATTTACTGAGGAGATAATGGCTGGGGTCTTGTCAGAAATAAAATGAACAGTAAATGAACTTGAATAAAGTATTTAATTCTGACTACCCTCACCATAGAATCTATGGTCAACTATACTCGTATCTCCATCAGTATATATTTGCATTTACTATATTGATATTTTTTAGTTTGTTTTTTTAAAGACTGTTCAGCTTTATTTGCCTCAATAAAACTGAAAATACACACTTTGGCTTAGGCTGCAAATCAGCAAAACAAAGGTCTAACTAGTAATTAATGACTAAGTTATATTTGTTAGTAGCAGAAATTTTTTTGTATACCAAAGTTTGTTAAAAAGTTATAGTTTTGTTAGGGATAGCAAAACAAAAATGATCACAACATGCCTTGAAAAAAAAAAGCAAAAAAAAAAGCAATTTGTGCAGAAATAGATGCCATAAAAATAATTTAAAAAAACATAATCATCATTTGTAATAAATTTTAATACATAATTTATTACTAGTGGACCTTCAAAATAGTTATTTCAAGAATAATGAACCTCAATTTTTTTTTTAAATATCTGTTTTAATAAAATTTCAATTTTTGGATTACATTTATAAAACAATAATGGATACAATAATTTATTAATTATTCAAAATATTTATAGTTTTTAATAATTGTTTTTCCAAAGATTTCACGTAAAGTATAGAAAATGTTGTAGTATCTTTATAAGTTTGAAGTTAGAGCCAGAATGATTTTTTAAATAATATCAGTAATCAGCAAAGGATAAACAAAGTAAATATGATAGATACCAAAAAAACCTAATTTTTGGCAGGAGTAGGCGAATCATATGCCAAGAATAATACAATTACTAGACGAAAACAAATTTTAAAAATATGTAAGTTAAAAAAATATTAAAAAAAACTAGTAATTTTTGTAAACACTAGATTTTTGAACATTTGAATAAAGACATTGAGTATTTTACACTGTTATTGTAAAAATAAAAACTGTTAAAGAACCGCCCGCTTTGGTACTTCCAGAATAATTTAAAATAAAATCATATTAATGTGAAAATTAATTTGATCAATTTCATAATGATTACCTCATGAAGATCAAAATAAACAATATTAGAGACATAAAAAGTAATAAAATTTCTGTAAATAACCAAAAATTAAAAATTTTACATTAAAAAAGTTCATTCATTAATGTTAAAGCGTAAATATTGTATATAGGTATATATGTGTTCTTTTTATTCATTTATTTTTAGGTTATTTTATTCTTATTTATTGTATATATATTATTTTTCTGTATGATTTATTTTATTTATTGTACATAGAGTGTGAATGTGATCTGTGAACACTATTATAAATGTCCTTGAGACAGATTGTAATATTTTTCAATAAATAAGCTTAAAAAAAAAAATGTTAAAGCATCTCTCTACAAGCTACCGATTTTTATCATGGACTCCAAGGACTCCTAATTAACTGTGAATTTCATAAATTTTTAATGTACATATTATTGATTTTCAGTAAATAAAGATAGAGATGTAAAAAAATAATATCTCTTTCTCGTTAATGTATTATGATTTTTTCATGCATTTTGATACATTTACTGAACATAATGTAGTGCTGTAGTCAGAACTGAATAAAAGGTTTAATTTAAGTTAGTAATATTTGAAAAAGGCAAGCAGTCACTCTGATGACAAGACCTAGATACCTTATTTGCATATTGCAGTGTCCACAAAGTGGTATGCGAGCACCAGGAGCCACGCTAGGGTTAAGTATCCCTCTTCCGCGCTTAGGAGCACTGGAGCCTGCAAGAGTTCCAGTCCTGCCTCCTACACCACCAGCACCTGCAGTCCGGTCAACATCACTCAGTGGAGGAAGGGATGGGAAGGTAGGATGGGGGGATTCAACGCTTGTTACAGCCTTAATAGCACTTTTATTATCCGCCAAAACAACATTAGTCTTGTTTGAAATAAATTTTCCATTATTTTTATTATTAATTGTATCTCTAATGGAAGTTTCATAACCTTGGTGCCCTAAGGTTTTTTGACTTGTCTCTCCATATGCCCTGAAATTAGTTAAAGTACGAGGAGTAACTTCTTTTCTTACTTCAGCAGTGTCATTAATTTTGTTTGTGGAGGCCATTTCAGATACATTCAACGACTTTTGCATTGATTGCATTGTTTGTTGCTCCATCCGGCTTTCTTTTTTTTGAATGCTAGACATTTTTTCTTCTCTTTGAATTTCTAACTTTTGTTCAGAATGTGTCATTTGATGGGAACTAGAATGCCCTTGCTCTCTATGCATCCTTTGTTGGGTATTAGAATGCCCTTGCTCAGTATGAACCATTTGTTGGGTACTAGAATGCCCTTGCTCTTTATACATCCTTTGTTGGGTATTAGAATGCCCTTGCTCAGTATGAACCATTTGTTGTGTACTAGAATGCCCCTGCTCTCTATACATCATTTGTTGGCCCCCTTTCTCTTTTGATGCCATTTGCTGGCCAGAGCTGTGACCATGGCCTCTAGAAACAAGTTGCTGCCCTTGTTCCTCACGAATCATCCTTTGGCTATTTGAAAGTGCTTGTTCCTTATGAGCCAATGAATGGCTGCTATGTTTTTCCTGCTCTTTGCTGATTTTTTGGGTTTGAGTAATTTCTTGCCCACTTTGGATATTCATTCGACTACCTGATACTTCTTGCCTATGGGAACTAAGGTGAATATCCTCTCTCTGTCCAACAGATGGGGTCGGTTTATCAACTTTCTGACAACCAGTTTTACAAGAGGATTCAGAGCACTGTTTCTGACAAGATTCATTTGTTTTTTTATGAACTGAACTGGTGATAGTTTCTCCATTTTTCCCAGCTTTTGAAAATGCTGACTTCTCTGATCCAATTGTTGTTCCTGAAGTGGTGATAGGAGGATATTTGACATTTACTTTTACTATTGGAGGAAGAGGGGAAGAAGGACGTGGTTTATGTATGAAAATGTTTGCATCAGCTGCTTGTAAAGTTTCTCCTGTTGGAGGTCGTGGAGATTGTGGGCGGGGTGAAGACAACCTCACAGTAATAGGGGATAAATTTTGAACTTGTCTGTATTTTTCAACTCTCCAGCTTTGAGGGGAAAGACCTTCCCTATGCGATTTTAAAGCATCTATTTTCTGTGTTCCATGAATGTGTCCAGATTTTACACTACTTTTCTGAGCAGAATGTGTTTTAGTTTCACTATACGTAGTTGCTTTATATTGAGCAACCATTTTAGGATTAGGAACATGAGCATATTCCATCGGGGTAGGTTTTATTTCAGGTGCTTTTATTTGATGAGGAACTGGGGAAACAGCAGGGTTTCTTAATGGTATCTCACCGATGTTTTGTTGATAAGATGGTAAATAACTGGGAGGATGAAGACCTGATGGAGTCACAGGCCTGACTGTTGTGCTTTTGGTTTGGCAAATTTCTACCTTTTCACTTTGAGAAGATTCTTCATGCCTTTCAATTTTTTCTTGTTTTGGTTTTGCTGGTTGGGGTATATACGCTGGAGTAGGCTTTATTGATGAAGAAATTACGGGGCGAGGTACAGGAGAAACTCTTACTGTTTCCTGTATTTTTCCTCCTGTTATTACTGCCATACATATACCACTTTTTTCTGACTTAACAGATTTTTTTTCAGTACTGGTAACTGAAGATATTTTCGAAGTAACTGGTTTAAAAGCACTTCCTGTGTTAACATCATTAATGCTGACAGCAGGTATTGTTTGGGGGATTGGAGTTTTACCAGGTACAGTAAATGGTACAGATGGAGCAATGGTCAAAGCAGAAGCCATTGACATCTCTTTTTTGTGCCCTGGTATGGGTTTAAAAGTTTCTTTTGTTTTTGGAACTTGTTTAACAGTGGTGAAAGTTGGAATAGGAGAGTAAGGTCTATCTGGAGCGACAGTCAATGCACCAGTCAGTGGAGAGGGACAGCCAACTTCCCTTAAGGCTCTACCCACTCGGTCATCCAATTTCTCTTTTTCTGGTGGTTGAGGTGCGGGTGGGAAATAGGGTTTTGTTTCTCGAGGCAGGGGAACCGGCTTATCATCTTTTTTTATTTTCATTGGTTCCATGGGTTTGATATTAGTAGAAACAGATGGAAGTTCCAATGGCTTTGGAAAAGATATAGGTGAAAAAGGTCTTTCAGATGCAGTTGTCAAGGCATTTGTCATCCAACCACTCTGAGTAATAGGTTTTGGTAAGTCATGAACGGAAACGGGCTCTGGCTTTTTATCTTTTTGTGGTTGAGTCATCATTTCTTCCTTTGCCAGTAGTGCTTTGGATACTTCCTTTTGAATTAATTTCTCAACTTCTGATTTTGAATAAAACATTTTCTCTAATACCTCAGTCTCTTCAGAAGCCTCTTTACCAACTGTTACATTTCCTAATTTTATTTCTATTTTTTTAGATTCATTTGTAGCTTCTTTTATATTTTGTTTCTCTGTTTTATGTTCTATTTTTTCAGTTTTTTGTTCCATTTTTTCAATTTTATGTTCTTTTTCTGTTTTTTGAACCTTTTCAATCCTATGTTCTTTTTCACTTTTATGTTCTTTTTTGATCTTTTCTTTCTTAGAATGCTCTTTGAGAGATCGACTAGCCTCAATCTTTTCAATAGAATTATCTGTCTTCTTTAATGCAGGTTTTATATCTGTATAAGGGACAACAGCATTTAGTGGGCTTGGGCAAGTTGTACAACGATCCGGAACTTTTTTCATATCTCGTTGTGGGGTCGGGGATCTCGAATACATGACAGTAGGACATTCTGGAGGAAATACAACTACCTGTTGGGGTGTCATTGGTCTCACTAGACATGCGGGAGGAAGTAGGGACTGTATATCATGTGGTTTAGAAGATATGTCAAGTAACTCAGGTGTTTTTGGTCTGGAAGACATAGCCCATGGAGAAGATGGTCGCAAAGTGTGTTGGGCAGAAGGTTGCGGACTTACACTCCTCCTAGTTTTCAAGACCCGTTCTCCAGCTTCTATTATAGTTTTCTCAACAGTTCCTTTTTTTATTTTATTTCGGGCACCTTCCATGGGAACTGGAGAAGGACATCTATCTTCTTCCAATATTGCACTGCCTATATTTGTTTTTTTGCTGGAAAAAGAACAAACTTCCTCAGAACAAATTGACATACGTTTTTCTTCAAAACGTTCGCTTGTTGAAGTTTCGGATTTCACGATTTCAGAATGGGATGAGGAAGGTGGCCAAATTACAGTAGTACAAGGATCTTTACAGAATAAATAAACAAGCATGCAATGTTAACACCAGATGAAAATTAGTGGAAACAAACATGAAGAAGAAACATGCAAAAGCAGTTTATTAATAGTAGTTAAAGAAAATAAATAATAAAGCTAGAGAATAAATAAATAATTTAGAAAGCTAGAAAAAACATGGAAAAGGTTATTCAACACAATTGTAATACGAGAAAAGAAAAAAAAAATGTACTAAGCATTTTTATTTACTACAAATTAGCACTTAATTTTGAGAAATGGAAAATGGTCTTGGTTTAGGATTAAAATTGAAAGCTGAAAAAGAAAGAAAAGGAAAATAATGTTAGTAATACATTTATTGTGGTACTAATACATTAGGGCCTAATGTGTAGACAATAGACCAGCTCTCAAAACAGTGCTGAATCTGTAGGATCCCTTTAGTTAGCCTTTAGTAATATTAATGCCTTCATAGGCTTTATTTGAAGCTCTTTGTTTTTTTATAATACATGCAGCCATGTCTGATTGTTACCTCTAGAAAGATTGATGTTTGGTTTTGAAGATGAGAAACCTAAATGTAACGAATTATATTAATGCAAAATAATACCTAGCAACCAATCATATACTCATCATCTGAACAGAGTTGTATAGATTATACAAAAATAAGTAACAAAATTCATATATTTAAAATTAATTATTACTGCTAATAATGGATTGATCATATAAAGTGATCCATACAATAATTAAACCAAATTATATAATTTTTTAATACTACAAAATCAAATATAAATCTATTTAACAGTCTAGAAAAGGAAGCTACAGCTTAAAACGATTGAATAATGATCAAATTTAAAATGAGAGCATCTCTTCAAGTTTCAACTAATTTATCTTTAGCAAATGTAATATTTTTTATCTGAAGAGAATAAATTTACAGTTAAAGCAGACCATAAATAAAGCTCAAAACAGAAAATCTATTATTGATAACAAAAACAAATGGGCTTTCATTTTATATAATAGTTTGATATAAAATAAGTTATATACTATGATTTAAAAAACAATCTAAATAAGTTAATGTTGATAACATTGAAATATTCTTTTGATTTCATAATATAAGGAATTTCAAATGAAAAAAAAAAAAATTTTAATAAATTAAAGTTATATCTCAAATGAAATAAAAGCTTAATAAATTAAAATTATATTTCCTAATGAATAAAAAACTCAATAAATTAAAATTATATTTCAAATGAAAAAAAACCTTAATAATTAAAATTTAACTGTCTTTGCTGGATGGAATAAAATTTATCTGTATTGCGATGTGTTATTCTGACAGTATATTATTATTTATTATGATAAGTATATTAGAATCAAAACAAATATAATGCTTTTAACTTTTCTAAGTTCATTAAATCCAATGATGATCTCCTGCAAGAATTTCAAGAAAGATGGTTGGAATGAAGAAGAGAAGAGCTTTTATTATACATGTGCAGACAAAATTCAATGTTTATCTAGATGAAAAAATAAATATATTTTCTATAATTCGACTACCTACCAGAAAATGGTTTAGTTAATCCGCTGCTTGGTGGGGCTGGTGGTGGAGCTACATTTGCTGGTGCATTACTTGGTGGGGCAACGCTGGAGGGAGTGAATACAGAGGAAGGCACACTTGCCACAGTTGTGCCAAATGGCTTTGGTCCACTTGGAGCGAATGTTTGTGTCTTTGAAAAAATAAAATAAATAAATATCACAATAAATTAACAGTTAATATAGTTTTGCACATTAGGAAATAAAATTGTTTCTTAAAATTATATATAGAACTAAAACATGATAGCCAGACAATCTAGCGAAAAGCAAAGAGTTTCTATAATTCATAACAGCATTTATCTAATAATTAAAAACTAAGTGTAATACTTTGAAAGACTGACTAACATGTTTTAGATAAATCCTGACTGTGAATTATATAAAACTTTCGTCTTATGATATTTGATTAAATTTATGAAAGCTATCGATAACACTCAAGAATGAAAAAAAAAAAAAAACTCATCTCATAGAAAAAAACATGATAATTAGAATATTATTCATTACTAATAGGGTATTATTTATTTCTTAGAATGGGCAATTCTCATCTTTGAAATAAGGTTTTGTAATGTAATTAAAAAGTCATTTATTAATTATTTTGCTTTAACTGTTTGCAATTCACAAATATCTGTGATTTATTATTTATCTGTATCAAATATTTTAATAATTATAACAGTAATAGCTATAAAATAAAAAATAGATGATATGAACTCAGTTATTATTTTAATTTCTAGACCATCAAATGTAATCTTAGATAGTAATATAGTTGTAATCAAATGATAACTCATTCAAAGAAAAGAGAAATCATAAAATAAAATAAAATAATCAGCATGACAAGGCTATAGCAAAAACTAACTAGTTCTAGAACAAACAAAAATTTTTTTTTTTTTTCTATTTAGCTTCACCTCATGCATATTTTTCAGTATTATTTATAATATAACTAATTAATTATTTGAATTATTTGTGCTTATGATTTTCTTAACATAACTAGCCGAAGATACAACAATAAATTACATTACAGAAGCATCAAACAAACATAACACATACAAGTAATACACTAAATGAAGAAAAAGTTCAAGTGAGTGAAATGGTTTTAATAAGTTAATGAATGTTGCAAAATTTGAGTTTGTGTGGAATGGAAGATGGAATAGCTGTATTGTCAGTACTGTGTAGAATACATCTTTTGATAGTATAGTGGTTAGCACATTTTACCAAAAAATGTAGAAATATTGACTTGATTTTCAGTCCACTTAAAGTGTCCATTATTGTACATCCTCAATTAGCCTTTAGAGCACAATTATCAAGCTGAAGAATCATGGTTTAGCAAAGAGAAGAAAATAGAAATCTAAGTTTGGTTACATTTTGAAGTTTTACATAACTTCATCATTGATGAAGGAGATAAAATAGAATCATATGAAGAATATCGGACAAATTAAATTTAACATTGGTTTAGTAGAAAATAGTTGGCTAATGATATGTTCAAAAGAAATATTCAATAGGTGTATGCCAATTATAAGAATTTTGTAAATTACCAATAATGTGTAGATTTGACAAAAAAAAAAAAAATAAAATAAAATATCAAATAAATAAAAAAGAAAATGAAGATGACTTGGTTTAATATGGAGAAAAAAAAAACTTTTTCTATAATTACTTATGTTTCTAACTTTAAAACTATTTTTTGTATTTCGATGAATTAAAAACATAATATCTCTTACATACAATTATCTTCTCTTTTTTATTCCATATAAAGGAAGAATTCAATAATCTGTTTACTTTTTAATATATTCATACTGACATCATTCTTTCCCTTTCAGTCAGTGTATATAGGACGGAATGTCCAGTAAAAGTTAAATCAATAATATACAGGTTATCTAACTAAACACTTGTTTATTTTATTAAAGATAGTTATTTTAATAATACTACTGAAAGTACATAACAGGTATTACTGAAATGCATGGATGATAATGGATTCTATAGCTGAGGAAAAACAATGAAAGCTTTTATCTCCAAAGCAAATGAATATGAAAAGCCTCTAATAGTTTTAGCCCAATTGATATTCAACTATGTAACTAAATAAATAATGATAGACATTTTATTTTGTTACTACAATGAATACTTAAAAATAGATAGATAAATAAAATGACCCAATCAGTTTACAGTTTGGATAATTTAGATTTTTTTAAAATTTATTTTCAACTTCTTGAGGAATCAGTGAAACGGCAGTTATAACCATCTTAAATTTTTATAAATTTCATTATTATCTTTATTTTAACAAACATTTTTGTTGTCACTAATGTATTAAAGCTCTTTATGATAGATAGATTATGGTCTGCAAGCACCTCCAATCTAGCCCCTTAAAGTTTCTTTGATTACGTTGTAACATTTTAAAACCTACTTTAAAAATAGGAAATTCAGAAGATCATTCAAACACAAGGTTACTACAATATTTAATAGACGAGTTGTTTCTCTTAGAAAGCTTATTTGACAAGTGAAGTGTCATTTATAGAATATGTTTTTTTGTTTCATCATGAGCCATTCTTCCCGCACGGCTTAATGGAGGTCTGAATATGGCCCATGAGCAAAAAGGTTTGGTGAGTCCTGATTTAAAGCAATGACTTTTGGGGATATTACTTTTTTTTTAATACAAATTTTAAACTTGACTGTAATACTATCATGCTGTGGGCACTCTCCGAACTCAACTGAAAATGAGCCACTTGGTTTTGTTTACCATTTTTGAGCGATTTGAAGTCAAAAACAGTGAACTCGTATTTCCATTTATAGTCTGATCATGAGATCCTGTGTCAACCCATAAAAATGAAGCAACACTTATAAAGTAGTACTTCCATTTATTAACAAATTCAAAGATTAAATGGTAAGAGATAAGGTTAATTTGGCGATGTGTTGAAAGGCATGAACAGAAGCTTTTTAAAAAAATGTATGGTCAATTAATAAACTATAAATTAATTACATCTTGTTTTATTTATCTTATACCCAAACTGACATTCCATCTGAAATATCTATAAACAACAATATTATACAATATTGTAAAAAATTATTTTTATTTTAGAATTAATTGTATTAGTTATCAACTGGGCTTTTTGATGGATCTTGTATGAGAAAATGAAAATAGCATAAAAAACACACAACATTGATCAATAACTCCCTTTTTTTTTAAATGTCTACCTGAGGTCCTAGCCTTGGGGCCACATGGCTTGTTGTGGTTCTTGGTGCCTGAAATTTGCCACATATATTGAATTTTTCTAATTCACTAACAATAATAATTCAAAAGGTATTTTAAAAAAGATTTTTTGTTTCATTGAAAAAAATATTAATAAATTTTAAAAAATAGAATATAAAATTTAATTACTTATTAAATTATTAAAAAACAATTATTACATGAAACGGAAGAGGAGCCAGTGTTCCTGGCTGAGGAGATTGTGGTCCTAATGATGGAGCCGATGAAACCTGGGATTGGAAAGCACCACCTTTGAAACTGCTTCTGAAACAAATCATTTAATTTGTGATAAGAATTCTATTCTATAAGTACTATTCTATGCGTAACATACGTTTTAATAACAATAGATTAATTATTTTCATATATTTTTTTATTTATTTATAATTTACATATATTTTTGTTGGGATAAATTTGCTATCTATTAGTGTATTAAGCAAACATGGTATCAACGGAGATAGGAAAAAAAACAAGAAAGAATATCAATAATAATACAGAACAAAGAGAACAAAAAAAATTACCACAACTAATAAAAAAAATAAATTAAAAAACTAAATATGAATTTGTGGATAGAGCTTACGTAAGTGGATTTGAATTTAGAGACAATCTGTTATGAAAATTATTAAAACAGTCTGTCTGTGGCAGTTGCTGTGATAAAAGGAATGTCAAGATCAGTGTGTAACATAACATTAGAAACATAAAAGGGAGTGAGTAGAGACCCAAATACCATACTGTTTTTTAATTCAGTGAGTGACATTGTTTAAAAATACTTCAGGACAAGAATCATGTCGAAGTGTTAATGAAATGAATTGGCTCTTGTTCTTGTTCCTTTATATCCTTCATCCTTTAGACCAACAAGCTATGTTGTCTAGATGTTCTACAATTTTCCAGAGAATTTTTGGCTGGAACAATTGAATTCCTTTTATATTTGATGTATTAACTATTTCCCATAACTCAATGTCATATGCCCCAAGTGGTTTAATGAGGTCTTTGTAAATAGTTAATTTAATAGTCACTAATAATTTAGAATGTCTGTCAAGTAGCCTAGAAAGAAGTCTGTATCACTGATTAAGTTCTTTTCTTTTCTTTTTTTATACGGTATGTCCATGTTAGTCATTTGTCCAAGTACAGAGTCAGAAACCATACTGTTTTTGAATTAAATAGGGCGATGTTGTTAAAAAATACTTCAGGACAAGAGTCATGCCAAAGTGTTAATGAAACAAATTGGCTCTTGGTCTTGTTCATTTCTATCCTTCATCTTTTAGTTCAACAACCTATGTTGTCTAGGTGTTGTTGGAGTACCTGAGAAACCTTAGCTGTATCTTTGTTGAATGTTAGTATTGCTGGTAGTCCAGGAGCCCGTAGAAAAAAAGGTGTCTTATGTCATACTAAGATTTGTCCATATAAATCAACCATGTCCACAGACCTGATGAGAAAAATGCACTCCTGTCAGCATATAGCAGCTGGAATACAAAATGATGGCCAGTTGAATATAGATAGGGAACCTAGTTAGGCAAAAAACTTATATATATAGAGAGCGCTTATTGATATAGAAAGCTACCAACCCTTTAGATTTATAGTATTTACTGTCTTGAGACATGAAATAATAGTCAGTTACCAAACACCTGTGGATTTCAATTAAAAAAATTGAATTTACGATTCACATAGTTTCCTTTTTTCAGTTTTATGCTCATATCAGTGAAACTATGCATTCTAGTGATAATAATAGTCGATATAAAACTAAAGCTTACAAAATTTACAACAGAAATGATAATATTAATTTTTTCGCTATCTTCTATAGTTTCAAAGATATCAATCCTAGTAATTGATTAACTTTGAAAAAAAATTGTGTTTGCCTTGAATTTTTATCACTATTTCACGAGCTAACTCTTCATTTTACAAAAAAGTCATAGGGGTGAAAGTTGTTTAACATTAATTTTTCTCTAAGAATATTTATTATTTTAATAACTTATCCACAACTATTTAAAAGCTAGAGCAATTATAATTTTATGGTTAAACTCCGATACTATGCAGAAAAACTTACTTTCATAATTTTTGTTATTACACAGCTCTTAAACTTTATATAAACCAACATACATGTGTATATATTGGCTTATATAATATTAAAATATATGTATTGGCTTATTTAATGATATATAACTGTGCAATAACGAAATTTATGATAAGGAAGTTTTCAGCATAGTATCAGAGTTTAACCATAAAGTTATAATTGCTCTAGCTTTTGAATGGTTAAAGATCAGATATTAAAATAATATATATTCTTAAAGAAAATTTAATGTTAAATTCAATTTAAAAATAACTTTCTTCCTAAATAATTTTGTTTAATATATAACTTCTAAATAACTTTCTAGTTTGTTTTTTGAAGTTAATGAATTACCAGGATGGATATCTCGAAAACTGTAGAAGATAGGGAAGAAATGAATGTAATCATTTCTGTTGAAAATTTTGTCAGCTTTAATTTTACATCAAACATTATTATCACTAGAATGCATAGTTTTCACTGAAATAAGCAAAAAAATGAATTCTTAGAATCGGAAATTCAAATTTTTGACTTTAAATCCTCAGGTGTGGGGTAACTGACTATTACTTCATGACTTAATACCGCAAATACTGTAAATCTAAAGGATTAGTAGCTTTCTATATCTATGAGCCCTTTTTTTATATAAGTTTTCTACCTATACAAGTCTATATATATTTTCACCTGGCCGCCATTTTGTTTTCCAGTTGATATATGCTGGCAGATGTGCATTTTTCTCATCAGGCCTGTGGACACGATCAATTTATAGGGACAAACCTTAGTATGAAAAAAGACACCGTTTTTGCCACAGGCTCCCGAACTATGAGTTATCAGCAATTGTAGCCAATGGAGTTTTTGGGTGTTGTGGAATATCTGGGCAATAAATATTGAAAAGTGTAGGACCCAAGACACTGAGCTGAGGTACTCCAGATTTTATTTGATTGATTGCAGAAAACTTAGTTCCTATTTTATTATATTATATATATTTAATATATTATTATATTATATTCTTTTAGATATAATGATAAATACATAGTAAATAGTAGTAATATAACAGTGATAATATAATTATATAATAGTAAATATAACAATTACTAAAAATTCACATCAAATATGAATGAGTAAAATATTAATAGCAAAAAGAAAATGTGGATTCTATTTCAAAAATATACTTAAACGTTGTGGTTTTTTTGCCAAAAGTCTATAAGTAACATTTCTTAAAATTAAATCACAGAGTAATTTAATGAACTTTCTCTGAGCAGAATCAGAACAATTTACACTTCTTAATACAATATTTGGTATAAAAATGGGTTTGTGACATATTGATGCACTTACTATCTTTGTTCATCTATAAAGAAGATGGAGATCCATAAAAATGTTTATAAAAGTTATTCTATACTAGTGATTGATATTTCATGGGCTAGTAACAGTTTATTTATTTATGATTTTACTAATTATAATAATTTTTTTTAATTAAAAAAACTTTATAGAAGTCATTTAAATGTTTTAGTGTTATGTCCAATCATCAGGAACATACAACAATATTTTTCTTTACCAATGTACATTTAATTCACTAGAAACTCCTGATAGTTCTTTCTTTATTCATATGTAATGATATTTTGTCAGTTATATATATGTTGTTATATAAAAACAAAGTAACGGGACTAGTCTCATTACATTTAAATATAAAGATTGATTGTAAATTTATTAAAAATTTACGTAGTGAACTTGCTTCCTTGCATAAGTATAATTACAGATTACGTAAGCTTTGTGTTACATATTTAAATATCTTAATTTTCTATATTTTTAAATACATGGAAAATTAAAATTGTGGTTACTATATTGTTTTAATAATTTTTTTTTTTGAGTGGCACAGATGCACCGCGGCCATGAAGGCCTGTTGTACACTTCTTTTAATAATAAAAATGACAATTCTATATTAGCAGTATTATATTCTGCTACAACTCTATATTTGTTTTTTATCATAATCACAAAAATGTATTTCAAATAAGGATTTCTAGTTATTAGATTTTCAAAAGCCTTTTTATATATATCTAAAATTAAAACATTATTATAAATAAAATATTCCATATTTAGATTGTATTAATACTTACGGAGGCACTGTGACAGGTTCTAAGTTAGGTGCTGGAGGATTCTGACGAGCAACCATCTTTGCATGAATGTCGCAGTACAATTTGTTATTGATGTTATAATAGCCAACATTTTTTAAAGATGTTCCACATGTTGCACATTTGAAGCATTCAACATGGAGATTTTTATCCTTTATACGTACAAATACTCCCCTGTGGAATTGAAAAACAAAATTATTAAAGTTTAAAAATCTATTTGGAGGCACAAGTATTATTTTCAAACAATTAAGAAACAGTGCTGTTAATATTCAAACATTCTTAAAAAAAAAAAAAAAAAAATGAATTCCGGTTACAAGAATGTTTTTCTAAATAAAGTTATAATTTACCATAAAGTTTAGTTATTGCATAGAAGAAAGAATAACTACTTTTCATTTACAGGGGAGTTACTGGTTATTACAGTGATAAGGACTAACATTAAACTAAGAACTAAAATAAGTGTAATTTTGAAGTTTAAAATAGAACTGTTGAAAGCTCTAGGAATTTCTGTTTTATGTTAAATAATTTAAGGTTTACAAGCATTAATTTTATTGTCCTGTTTTAATATTATGAATTTATTTATTTAAACCTAAAAGAAGAATCATAATTAGGATTCCAATGTGTATTTTTTCTATTCCCTTCCTTACATAAAAGCCTGGAGTACTAGTACAGGCTATACTGAATTTTTTTCTGGGCCAGGGAAGAGGGCAGGGAATTAATGCCAGAGTTAAAAGCCTCTCTGGCACTGGGACTCGAACTCATAATTATTTTATTTTATTATCTTCATTTTATTAGGTTGTGGGAGAACAAGTGTTTTGCACACACATTAGTTTGGTGAATGATACGACTGAAATCCTTTTAATATAAATCCACAAAAAAAATCTAATAATTAATTAATTTTTTTCAAGTATTACTCTAGTTTAGGACTCCCCAACATTTTTATATTCAAGGCACATTTATAGGTTAATAGTAGAGTGGCAGGGAACTAATATGTCTGTGTCTTTCCTAGACTTTTCGTTGATAATACTGTTAATAATATTTTTAGCATATAAAAAAGTATTTCTTGTTTCTTATACAAGCAACCTAAGCAAGATATAAAATTTCTTTAAATAAATGTAATAAAGAAATATATATAATTACAGATAATACGATATTTGTACTGCATTTCCTCGGCCACTACTCCATAATTTTGAGAATATGATTATTATATGATAATTTGAAAAAATAAAATAAGTGATGAGCACATAACTAGTAATTAGATATGTTGGATGCAATAATACGAACTTGGCAATTTAGTGCAGTAAAAAATAAAAATTATTAAAAAATGTTGTTAAAATGGTATATCAATTAATACCACCACTTATTTTTATAATTCGAATCAGCTTTTTATTACACATTTTATAAAAAAATACTTGTTGAACAGCTATACTATGCAGTTACGAGCTGGTATTATGCACTGCATAATATGCAGTACTTAGCTGGTGATCCTTGTTACAGGTTAGGATAGGTGGGCGCTGGGTTGGGGACCCCTGTTCTAGTTATATATTTTTTCTGTTATAGTTTATCTCTGTTCATACTAAATAACATATTGTAAAAAAATTTATTTTGATTTAAATGTTTATAATGATGTACCAAACAATTTCATCTTTCAAAAATAATGCTCATTTTGGCCATACCTTGGAGAAGGGGAGATAGCATTATTCTAAAACCGAAATCATTTTTTTGTTTCAACTTCTGAGGGAACCAACTGCCAGTTTCATAGAGACTACAAGTTGGTATCACCAATTATTTTTATCACTACTAATTAAAATAATTTCAACTACGGCAACATTTCTTAAAAAAAATTTTATAATTAGTAACCACAATATTTCAAATATTAGATTGATATAAAATTAATACTGGTTCAGATTAAGCAAACCAACAATTTTGTCATCATGATGCCGTGATTGTGAAAAGTAATAGTCAAATGATGCAGATCTACAAACCAAAAAAAAATAGTGTATAAATAAAATGAATTCAAATGCACTTCAATAAACAACATACTCACAAAAATAGACATCACAATGAAAGAGCTAATGCATAGCAAACAAAAACAAAACATCTATTACAAAATAGAAGTAGAAGATTCAAGGTAAAGAGATACTGCTCGATTCTGAGTATACATCATGCTTGAGTATATGAAGTCGTTCTATGAGGAAGAAAGACACAGTATAGAAACAAGTAAAAAAATAAATAAAAAAAAAACAGGCCAAGAAAGGAATAAAAAAATATGTCTAAGAAAACATGCAGAAAATAGAGGATTAGGAAGAGGTTTTCATAACATTAACATTTGACATACTTATGTCAAAATCAAATTATCATTATAGTGACATTAAATTATATTATTTTAAAAAAATTAAACTATTAACCATGTTACAGTTGTTTTTGTATACCAAGAAGACTTTACAAAACAGATTTACTTTTCATCTAAAGGTGGATACGCACTTGACCAACAAAGGCCAACAAACTTGTTATAAGGCTAATGTAAAAAGATAGTATTAATAATTTATTATTTTAATTTAAAAATACATTTTTGGTATTATGAATTATCTCAATTATGATAAGAACATACATTTTAGAGTTACTCGTTTAGAATTGGAAACAAAAAAGATAAATAAATAAAGTTCATAATAAGCTTTATTATCACTATTTTGTGATGTTCCAAAGATTTTCAAACTATTTTATAATGATTATTTAATACAATATAACTAAATGATTAAATGTTTTCAAATAACTATTTAAATGAATTGTTTTTTTCTTATAATTTAACATATTAAAATAAGAATTTTTCATTATTATTATTATTATTATTTATAAGAAGGTACTATCCATAAAGGACAGGTAATGCAGGCAAGGATTACAGGAAAGGATGACTCACACTATGTGCTTGCCGCAGGAAGAGCACGGAGGGTTGTCTTGAACAGTTGGGGGAGTAGGAACGCTAGGCTCTGCACCCATCTCCTTTGCCAATGGGGTTAAGGGTCTTGGAGAGGTGGCCCTACCACCAATTGCATGAGAATGTTGAGAGAAGTACTTTACCGAAGACAGGGATCCTAGGAATAATAAAAAGCTATTGATAACATAGTTCAGAAAACCTAAGCAAAAGCCCCATCTTTGGCGGAACGAACAGCAAAAACATCATTGATGATTCAGAACCTGAAAAGGAAATCTTTAGGCATTACCATTCATGGGCATAACTCTTTTTTTATTTTTATTTTAACCAATAAACTTAAGAAACAACTTTTTTCATGACCTTTTAACACCAAAGATATCAATGAAACTTACTTAATAACCTGAAACAAAATATTTTACTGAAAATATGTAATTAATGAGCAGAAGGATTGGAAGTATAAATTTTTTTGGAATACTTACATACACTACTAGAACACCATTTGAACCAATATTTTATTATTGCTTAAAATTTTCATAAATAAATTTCTTAAAAGATATTTATTTCATATTCATCGTGAGAATAGTCCAATAATTTAAAATAACAAAAGAGAGGAACATAAAAATTGAAGAAAGCAACCCTGACGACACCAAAAAATTTCTAAATTCTTATTTGAATGAAATGAATAAGTCAAAGGAAAAATTTTAAAAATGTTTTTGATTGATGAATATAATTTCTATAGTAAAAATTAAAAATGAGGAATCAACAGACTATAACGTTCAGGTTTCATAAGAATTTCATTTTGTATTGATTTAATTAATGTTAAAAGAAATCACATAAAAAGAATGTAGAGAAATAGAGAGAAAAAAAAAAAGAGTATGCCATCTGAACTGGAAGGCCAGGTAAGACTTACACAATCAGACGTTCGCAGTCAGCACAGATGTTTTGTCCCGGTGGTAACTGTGTAGGCTGTGTGCTAGGTGCAGTTGGTATTCTTGGCTCGGGTGGTGGCACGTGGCGAAGGCTGTTCAATGCAACACTACCTGTTTCTGGGGAAGTAAGTTGTTAATATATGGCGATTTCAAAAATTCTTTTTTATAGTGTTTTAATAAACATCATATTTCAATATTGGCTGCATTTTATAGGAATCCAAAGGCCATCCGACTTTATTCAATAAACTTCTAAGACCAGAAAATAAAGGTTGGCCATAATGGTACTATGGCAAAATGCTGCTTTATTATTCCATTTAACATAAATCTATCAAAATTTAATGTTTGGTGAAACAAAAAATAAATTTTCATGTAACAGGAAGAAATCAAATTGCTTTAGAAATGCCAAAAATCAGAGTAGATATGTTGGCTGCATTTGGATTAGATTAAATGAGTTATTGTACAACTATCAGCTCCAATAAGCAATTGTAACGGAATAAGCAGGACAGTTTAACATGTCTTCCTTATAAAAAAATATCAATTAATTTGAAATTTGGAATTAAATTTAGGATTTCTTAGGCACTGAATGAAATAAGGATAAAAAAAAAATCAATAAAAAAATCTATAACACTACAACCCATGAAGGGTATTGGGTTTAGTACTATTTAGGGAAGTAAGTACTGTTTCTTAGTCAATGGTTGTGCAAGGAGGTTGCCTGGAGGTGCAAGGAATTTGACTGATATCAACCGCCAGGTTTTCCCCATTAATTAATTATTTAATTAAGGGTACCCACTTTATAGAGGCTGGGTGTGTCCCAGAAGAGTCTTCAGATCCCACAGTCGCCCCACGGCTGATGAAACAGAATAAATAATTTTTCTGCCATAATCCGATATTCAAACCCGGGACTAAATACAATAAAGGATTAAAATTTAGAAAATTAAAATCATAGATAACAGAGAGTTTTTTCTGTTCTGAAAATAACCAGAATTTAATTACTTATTAACCCCCAAAAGAAACCTATAGTTGATGTCATCAGAACATTATTTGTGCATGGTTTTCTATGGTCACATTGATATTTATACATATAATCATCAGTGTTGCTATGTTGAAATGGTTCTCATGGGTTGAGTGAATTGTGATATCTTCTAATCATTTGGTACCTGGTGAAGAAGATATGGAATAATCATTATACATATAGCTTATTAAAATCATTTTTAAACGTACCAATTTATCTTCTGTGAACATATATGTATCATACTAGATAAGTTTTTAATTGTGCGATCGTTATTTCAAGAGTGGAATTAAATAGTACAGCATATGAAGGATTGATTTGCTCTGATTCCAAGCTAACATTAAATTTCTGGAAGAACCAATTATTATCATGACCTCACAGCATGTTTCATAGAGAAATTCAACTTCAGACCTAATTAATTGGATCCCTAAAACTATCAGGCAGTCTAAAAATTTTCTTATATTTGCACTATAACTGTTTGAATAAATGGCACAAAGTAAAATGATATTTATAACTTATTTTCAGCATATGTCTCAAACTAAAAATTTCATTCTCTAACCTTTTCATGAGCCTTTTACAATTCATAGCCTCAATTGATACTATCTTTTAATAAGTTGCATGAGAGAGATATAGTAATTATAGCATCCATACTAATTATAGCATTCTATATATTCATTTAATTTTTTATAGATAATGCATATTATACTTCACTAATCTTCTTGCTTCCTCTGAGTTGTCCTGATATCTAAAACTATTTCATATATTTCTTCCCAAATATTATCTGTTCCGCATTCGGCTGAAATACTATCTATTCCAGGGAACTTATTTATCAGGAACATTATGATCTTTTCTACTTCTGGAGCCTTTATTCTGCTAAATATTTCTTTGAAGTATCAAGCACACTTTTATAACTTCTACCATTTATAAAAAAAGGCTATTCAAGTAGAAAGTTTCATCATTGGTGAAAAGCCACACCGAATATGTTTTCGCTCATATTTAGTAAAAACCAAGAAATTGTTACCATTACAACTTTCTCCAAATATTTAAATATAAATTAAAAAATATATTTGTTAAAACAATGCAAATTGATCAGACTTCTCAACACTTATTAAATAACAATCTGTATTAAGGTTGATACAATTTAAATGATAACAGTGTATGTTAAATATATAATTTAAAATAATAAAAAATTTACCTGGTTCTGGTGATTTTGGCTCTTTATCAACTTCTTGTACCATTTTGAAAACTTCACTTTTCTGGGAATCGTATGTTTTTTCATTTTTCATGAAATTGACTCTAAAAATAAATAAATAAATCAAGTTACAAAAAAAAAAAAAAAAAAAAAAAAAAAAAAAAAAAAATATGTAATCAAATGATGACAGAAGATAGTTAAATTTAATAAATATAAAAATATATTTACAAAGGATCCAAGAAACTATAAGAATACACATTGATGTTATTAAAATACAAAACATTTGATGATACAATTTCTTAAGGCATCAAATTATTATCTAAATTTATATTTTAATGTTATATGCAATATAGGACCAGTCTTGGCCTGACAATAAAGATGATGAATGAATGTAACTCTTAACATATTCAACAATTAAGTTTCCAAAAGTAGAACAAAATGATAACAAACGAAGATAACTTACCCAATGGCTCCCCCAACTAGTACCTCAGCCTGAGCTGAAAGTGTCTCAGCTATAATCTCTTCACTGTACATCCCTACAGGAGTATTGTACTGCTTATTCACAATTGCTTTTACAGCTGCATCACCATTAACCTGTAAGTATGTGTATATTTCATAAAAAAAATCATACGACAATATGTTTGTATCACTAGAAAATAAGTGGTGAGCTCGATTAATTACAAATAAAAAATGACCTTTTCCACCACTAGGAAAGTCATTCCTGCTCAAATAGTTGAACTTTATACTGTGCATAAATCACTAATAAGAAATACGAGTGGTAAGGAATTACCGATATTTGAAACCATTAGAATTTGTTCTATTTCATTGTCATTTGCACAGTTATCCTTTTTTTAAAAAAATTAAATAACAAATTTTTATCTTGATCACTTATTTTATAGGACTTGAGATATTTCCTTAAGATTTTAAAAATTAAAAAATAATAGAAACATATTGAAATTCATGTAGTTAATCATTTATGAATTATATTGTAAATATCATTAATAAAATATTATATATAAAGTTCACTTAAATGACATTAAACTGCTTCGATATCCTAATAAACATTAAACTGCTTCGATATCCTAATAAACATGATTTATTATTATATCTTTATTTACTAATAACAAATTTACTTATTTAGCGAGATATGTGATTTTATGAAAAAAATGCTCCTTCATATATATTGTGTAAGAGTTGTATTTATGTTGTATTTTTTCTACTTTTTGGTTGTTTTGGTCTTAATTAAGTCAATAACTGAAGTTAATATTATCTGATGATATTGATTTATTCCTCCATGAATACATTATCCCTAAGTATTGATATGAATTTGTGAAGTTGGCTCTTATTAGGGGATGGCAGGAAGTGAAAGAAGAGATGGAAAAATTAAGCTTGCCTTTCTGCCAAAATCCTAGTTCCTGTCCAATAAACTGGCCTTTATTTTTGGAAATAGATGGGCAAATAAGTGTATAAGAAATTTTGCAGAACTTTTTCAGCAAAATTTATTGTATTACAATCTAAAAATTTCATTTAGTGACTAAACTTAAAAAAAAATTAAATGAATATTTGTGAATTTAATAATATGATATCACATTCACATTGCTTTTAACTTGCTATAAGTACATGTATAAAAAACTGATAACTACTGCATTATCTGTTGAAAATATACTTAGTACATTTAGGAATATGATGTTTTAAAAAATGAAACAGGTTGTTTTTTCCACTTTTTCTTGGTCCCACATTTAAAAATTAAATCTATAAAGCTAGATACTCGAAGTATTTCGATTGTAACCACTAATACTTACTGCAAGTTATTAGCTCCTAATGGTAATCCCAGATGCAACACTACTCACCGTCACTAATTGGAAGAGACTGATACTAGGAGGTCAGATGAAGGATACGAACGGTCAGTGTGACAATTAAGCAATAGAATTGGCAAAGACAATCTATCCTTTCATTTGCCACACTCCAATCGACAAATCTCTCAGCCAAATATATTGCAACACCCTTGGCTTCAAGGTCTAGGGTCTGTTCTGTTTCACCAGCACTTGTGAACAATTAGGCTATGTATGGTCTCCAACTGGTCAACAGACCCATGGAATGTTATGGCTGTGATTTCAGCCTAAAAAAAATATCATGGCTTGAAGTTTTAAAGGGGATATCAGTTTATAATTTACATTATTTATTATATTCTTAACAATTTGGATAGTTTATATTAAAAGTAGTTCTCAATACAAACAACAAGAAGTAACCTGGTTATTCTTACATAATAATGTTCTGGATTACTGTTTTTGGGCTATTAAGTTGCACTTATAGGTCAAGTACATCATTTTTTTCCATTTTATAATGGATTCCTATATTTTTTAATTTATTTTAGCTTTTTACCAAACTGAACAAATTGAAACATGCCACTGGACTTTATTTGAACATCTAAGCCAATAGAGAGGGAGGGGAGAGAGAGGGTGGAAAACAAAGTGAGGGAGATGACCACAATACGATAATTTTCTAAATAATTATTTTGATTAAAATAATCTGAAGGTTCTAAAACTCCAAAAATAAAAAATAAAATAAAAAAAATACATAAATGAATATTAACGACTATCTCGCATAATTTGCTTTTTCTGATGGCAAAAGTTGAATGGAGATGGTATTTATGGCTAAGACGGATACTATTTTGATGCTTTAACATTTATTGATGTAAACTAGTAAAGAGGTCAAGAACGCTGGAGTATTTCAATCAATGGAATTGCTCACTGACCGGGAATGCGATTGGAAAGACGACAGCCAAAGACAACAATGGAAGATTACATCATGTTCTAGACATGAGTAGGGCAGAACACTGAAGCTGTATCATAACACCCCTTCAACAATTTCCATTCCTTTATATTCATTCTCTTAGTTCATGTTTTCACCTCCTTTGTTATTTTACACGAGGCATGTCCTGCTTTATAAAAACAATTTCAGCACGATCTACTCGGAAGTGCTTCAACAGAACTGGATAACTCGCCTTACATATACCAGAAACTGTTTTTAAAATCGCTTAAAGGAAGGCGATATCAGGTTACCTTTGTGTTGAGTATGTTGATTACCAGTATTGGGATTTGTATAAATCTAGATTCAACAATGTCCAAAGAAAAGTTCATGTAAATTATAAGAACAAGAAACGAATAATTTCCAAAAAAAAAGTCACCTATATCTCATACTCATAACTCCATTTCGAGAAATGCTGTACTATTCCATGATTTGATTATTTCAACTAGGATTTGTGCATTTTCACCAAGTCACGGGCGGATCTACGGGGGGGGGGGGCTTTCGGGCTGAAGCCCCCCCCAAAATGGTAAAATATAACCACGTTTTATCGATAAAAATATAAACAAAGTATCTCTTAAAGTATTATTTTTCGTGTGATTAATATTAAAAGGGCTTTAGGAATCACTTAAACACCATTTCATACAGGCTGTTAGTTTCTTTCTTTTTTTCTAAAGCAATTATCGTTATTTTTATGAAAAAAAAGCTTTCGGGCTGAAGCCCCCCCAAAATTAAATCCTGGATCCGCTAGTGCTCCAAGTTGTTAAGTTTACTTAGCTATTAGTTATTTTTCAAAGATAATCTGAGTTTTCAGGTGTCTTCTACTCTCAAACGAAACTCGGACCTCTTCCAGCAATACGTTAATGGACACCCCTGATCGGACGGATCTATCCTCTTACACGACATTTTTTCATGTCAGATAGTGAAGAAACTAAACGAGCTGTGTTACGAAGTCCTTCCACACCCACCTTATTCGCCAGACTTATCTTCAACTGATCTGTTCATATCTCAGACATATCTGTTCAGAAACTTTAAGGTAAAATTTTTGAAAATGAATCTCAGCTCAAAAACGTATTTTCTGACTTCGTTTCTTTGCAAAACCCTGATTTTTTTCTGTTGTGGGATTGAAAAGTTGATAACAAGTTGGAGGAAACGTATAGAAAATGTGGATAAATATTTCGAATAAAAATGTTTTGATTTCATAAAGTTGTTTTACTAAATAACCTTTCTTGTGATAGCTGACATTTCGTATGAAACGACCCAATATTTCTGGTAGATCAACTTATTAATACTATGTTATGTTAATTTGTGGAATATTTTTGATTAAATAAAACAGGTACCTTACTGGAACTTTTAATACATTTGATTATTTTTACTTTATCGGTGGATCGGAGACCTCTAAGACAGAACAGTATTGACCCCTGGTTGCTTGACGGTCCATTGATCTTCCTTCGGTTCCCACGATCTAGTCGAACTGAGGAGATTCGTCGGTTCCATTCATTTCACATCGGACGAAAGGAATTCAGTTCCACCACACAACTTGTAAAATTATTTCTCCGATCGTTCCCAAAGGATACCTAAATTCAGTTTTCTAACCCTTGGGATTTCTCCGATAGCGAAATGCATCAAATGAGGTGTATACAAACATAAAGGATTAACTCTCAATTCTAAAATTGTTTTTTTAAAAATATCTCTAGAAAATTTTCCATTCATGGAATATATTTCTAACAATTTAGTCTGCCATTGTAGCTTTATTTTGTCATGGTAGAAATTGAGTTATACCCTTTCGGTAGTTGATGTCTCAAGTATCTATAGTTATAATGAAATATCAAGTTTCAACTGCGAAGTTACAATACAATGACCCATTTACATGAAAACATATTCAATAAGAAAGCACACAGAGAGCGATGCCCAACAAAATGAACAAATAATTTAACTTAAAAAAATACCTTTCTATAGAAATAGTACCGTACCCATCCTAAGATACGAAATGTATTAGTATTTCTACATAAACACATCGATGGATTGTTAATAAAGTTGACGTCTAAGCTATCTTTACTAGGTGAAGTAGTCGGATGCATTCCAATACACGTTACGACTTCTTGTATATACATATTGAATCCTTAATTTCAAACAAACAGAAAGTAAATTAACGTATTGCCGTAAGAGGTCCGAGTTTCGTTTGGGAGTAGAAGACACCTGAAAACTCAGATTATCTTTGAAAAATAACTAATAGCTAAGTAAACTTAACAACTTGGAGAAAATGCACAAATCCTAGTTGAAATAATCAAATCATGGAATAGTACAGCATTTCTCGAAATGGAGTTATGGAGTTTACTTTTTTTTTGTAAATTATTCGTTTCTTGTTCTTATAATTTACATGAACTCTCCGTATAAATAATTTTCGTTGGACATCGTTGAATCCAGATTTCTACAACTCCTATCTGAACGCCGTGGTAATATTTCTTGCAGCTTGGACTGCCGAGTGACCAAGTTTAAACTCATAAAAAAAAAAAAAAATCACTCGAAAATCGCGTCTTTCTATGCTGACATTTGATGACATAATAAACAATTTGAAATCAATTGTAATTATAGTAAACATAATAAAAAAATAGTCTCATTATAATCTGTAAACATAAACTTAGTAAACAACAAAAGTGTACTAATCCCACTTTGAATTTATGAAATAATAAAAAACAGAGACTTCATATTGAAATGACCTAATAAAAAAGACAGAGCTCAAAATATAAGATTTTCTGGAGACATTATATGCGATAAGTAGTGTAATTACCGGTTCATACTATTTTAGTTATATCTATTGTATTACCTAATATTTAAAAACAAATAAGATATTTGAATAATAGTTATTTTTAAGTTATAAGGAAAAATACAAATTATTTTGCTTATTTTTTTACTCCGGAAAAAATTAGAGGTGGTAAAGTTGAAATTTGTAATAAGCAGCCAAGATGAAATCAAATAAAATCTGTTGAGGTAGATCTTGCCTCATGACAAATACCATTAGTAATATTAGCGCTATTATCGCACCACAATTGAATATTTCTTATGATTATAAAATTATTGATGTGAATATGATTATCCCAAATTGGGACATTGGCTATGAAGGAAGGTATATGATATTATAAAGTATATGATATGGTAGGTAGGTACCTGAGGTGCACCTCCGAATGGCTTGGGCGAGAGGTTGTGGCCGGCGCCGATCGGTGTGGACGGAGCCTTGCTAGCGGCCAGCGATGTCTTCGTCACAGGGGCCATCGGCGACGCCTTCCCCGGCGATGGGACGCTGCCTACCGGGCTCACGTGCGGCTTCCACGTCCCGCCAGATCCTCTGCCAACAGGGATCACATTCATAAAATATAATAGCAAACAACTATCGATTATTAAACAATTTTGTCAATACTGAACCGTTGATTTGGTTCAGGAACCAGTAGATAGAGCGCATAACATCGTTTTCTTAAGCTTCCAGTTGGTAACCTTTGCTTCCAATTCAATAATTGGAGCCATACAGTGAAAAAAATTACATAATTTTACAATCTTTCTGTCTCATGAGCAGATCCAGGATTTTTATGGAATTACATATTTTTTTGCATGTATTTGTTTGACTGCCGATCAAACATCATTAAGGGTCAGTTGCTCCAACTCAGTAAAGCTTAGATTAAGCGTTATCCAAGATTAAACCAAGTTTAATCTTGATCGGTCGGCCTTAGAAAGCTTGCTGTAATCTTAGATTACGCTTAATCTAAGCATTACTGAGTTGGAGAAACTGACCCTAAGAATCATTTTAATCAGATGCAATTAGTCCAAATATATATCCATATTTGATTATATCTATTAAACAACAAAAAAGGTAGAAATAAAAAATTAAAATGCAACATTGAAGGTGAAATTCCATCCCTTGCATAATATTACAACATAATATAAGAAATTGTTATAACTTTTAAACACCACAGTCAGTTTTTATATCATACTTCCTTTAGGCGGATCTACGGGGGGGAGGGGCTTTCTGGCTGAAGCCCCCCTCAAAATGGTAAAGTATAACTATGATTTACAGAAAAAAATATCTCTTAAAATATTCTTGTTAGTGTAGTTATATTTAATAGGACTTCAAGAACCACTTAATCACCATTTCATACGGGTAGTTCATTTCTTTCTTTTTTTTTTTCTAATTATTTATTATTATACGTATATGAAAAAAAATCCTTCGGGCTTAAGCCTCCCCCAAAAATTAAATCCTGGATCCGCTTGTGACTAGCGATAATACGTTTTATTAATTTGAGTGCGTAATTATCTTCAAAATTAAAACATTAAATCAACCTTAACCTGCTCGAAGATGAAACATTTTTTGAAAATAATTTAATAGTTTTTTTTTCTCATTACTAATTTTCTTATATTACTAACTGAGTTTTTATTATTTCAGTTTTTAAAATAAACATATTACATTATATTTTTTATTAGAGTTAATTATGGATTAATTTGTTTTAGGTATTTTCATACTCAGCAGCGTTTTATTATTTTAAAAAAATAGCAATTATACCTCCCCCTTTTGTATACAACTACCTACTGCTATTATTATGTGTTACCAGTGATGGATCCAAAGGTAGGAGGAACCAGACAGAAGCCCTTCCACATAAAAAAAATTATATAATATAATTTTAAATTATAAATTATTAGTTTTTATACAGTTACTGAAAGTAAGCAATTGTTAAGAAAATATTAATATTAAATATTAAAAATTCATCAGTATGATCACTATTATTCCAGGAGTAACAATTTTTTTATATTTGTTTCTAACAGGCCTTCAAGGACCATTTAAACATCATTTCATATAATTTATATTTTTCACTTTCAGAGTGAATTACCATTGTATTATAGTTACCAAAACTCCTCCCCCTCCCAAAAAAATAAATTTTGAATAGGTTACTGTTTGTTATTAATGTGATATTCTTACCCATTAATACAGATATATAATTTTATTTCGCGTTTTTTTTTGTTTTTTACAATACCTGAATTAATTTGGTTTATAAAAATAGAAAATATATATATAATATTGAAATAAATTGCATTAATTTTTACTCCTTCCTCCTATTTCTTTTTTAGTTCAGAACTAGTTGTAGGTACATTATTGTAATCGAATACTTAAGCTGTATTAAAAATTATAATAGCAATATTAGGCTTATAATAAATAAGTAAATGAGGTTTAAGAGAAAGATTTTTCTATGGGTTGAAATGTCGCAAGCACCGGTGCTTTTTATCGGTTGTTCTGGCGTTACGCCGCTGACGAGAAATATATTTCCTAAACATATCAAACCACATTTTCTGACATAACATCATGCATACACATGAGTTCAATGTGGTAGCCTTTGGAATGTAATTTTTAGAGCTGAGTAAGCATGGCTAACTCAAGTCCAAAAATAAACAAGGCTGTTGCTTTAGAATTAGAAGTCAAATGTAATTTTAAATTCTTAGAAGTTTGGAGCAAAGCCAATAGAATCATACAACGCTTGTTGCTAAACTCACATTATCTAACGGATTTCATCAGAATTTAAATCACTACACCTTTTTTTTCCTGTTGGTTTTACAGTCGTTGTAGATCTTTGGCCACATAAACCAGATTTCTCTCTCTTGGGCTACTGTTTTCCAGCTTACTCCGTCTATAGTTCCATGCATTCTTTAAAAAGAAAATAAGAAACACTTATCAGGTGAAGCTTATCACAAACTATAAGCGAACCTGATCCATCTGACAAAAAATGTGATGGGTATTTAAAATTTCCTGACTGTAGGAGTTATAAGCTATCAAAAATGCTAAAAGCTAAGCCGCCTGTGTAACAATTCCAGATCGTAGGCTGCAATAAAATTATTGATTAATAAAATCGTTCTTCGTTCTTCCGTCATGCTACAATGATACACTAGCTCGCACACCAAATAACACATCTAGTTCTGCTGTAGATTCAAAATGGCAGTATTCAGATATTGGACAATAACTTATCGTTCAGAAAAAAAAAAACGAGAAAATCACATTTGATACCAAATTTACCTGCAAAATTTAAACTCTTTCTCAAAACTTAAGGTTTTACATCCCAAGATTCACATATTAAAAAAAAATCGGTCCGTATGCCATCCGCGGTTTTCTTTGAAGATTTTTTTTTTCAGTAAGTATTTAATGGTTATGCTTAAGTTGACCGCCGGGGAAAAATCCTCCAAGAAAATCTGGTACAAAAATTTGTATTTTTGATTTCTATAAAAAATTATATTTAAGAGTTCAGAGGACACTGAAAACAAATATCACTAGCTTTTTCATTTTAAATAGCCTCAGGAGTGTCCATCCCCTTCTCCCCCCCTCAAGATCAATAGCGCATGAACTTCTCCCACTTAATAACCGTGCAAGCTAAAGTATAATTTTAGAAATCGTAGGTCATAAAAATTATACTTGCAGTGGTCCGTTCTATGCTTTCCTTTTGTTTTCTGATTCGAAACTTTTTATTTCAAAAATTCAAAAGCTCCTCAAAATGTGCCTCCCTCTAAATTTAAAACCCCGTCAAAATGTGCCCTCCTCTCAAAAATTTTGGTGGCCCCATTTGCGCCTTACAACATCTTTCTGGACACCTCTGTTTAGCCTACTTTACTTTTAATAGTGAAAATTGCTGAGATGTTGGTAGGGACGTTCAGTCAAAAAAATAAATAAATAATATTTATTTTTATTTTTGCCAACGTTTCGGTTCAAAGTTCAGGCCTTCATCAAGGCTGATCTCACGAAGTGTTCCGGTAAGAAAACAAAGATAACGAAATTGTAGAGAAGTTGGAAATAAATATCATTTATTTATTTTAACTTTTTATTTTTTCGACTGAACATCCCAACCAACTTCTCTTCAATTTACTTTCAATACTATCGATTAGTTTTTAATATGTTTTTTTTTTTGTGGCATAATACACCGCTATCCTAAAAGCTTATCGTGAACCATGTTATAAGCCGTTTAGTGCTGCTTGAATTTGTCACCATATATCTTTCCGATTCTTAGCAATGTTAAGACTTCTACCACATACGGGTTCAGGTGTTATGGGAATGTATCTGAACCTAACTGGCTATCTATATATTTTAATTTAAAAATAAATCGATTGGTTCATAATAACCTTGAGATCCCGGGAATGAAAATAAAAATAAATAACGTAATTTTGTTTTGAAAATATATAAATAAAAAACAAAAGAATAAAATCGGTGCCCCACTGACTGTGACCTCCACTTGTTAGTGCCGCATGAGTTGGCCCTCCGGGTGGCGGCGGAATAACACATTTAAGATAAGGACTACGTACCTCTGGACGGTGACTTCGAAGTTGTTGCCCGCCCTGACGATGGTGTCCTGTGCCTCCTTGTGCCTCATGTCCGAAACGTCGACGTTGTTGACCCGGATCACGGCGTCGCCCACCAAGAGACCTGCCCTTTCCGCCAGGCTGCCTCCGTTCACCTGCAAATAGCAACAGTCATAATGCAACTCCATACGATTTGTAATTAATAATATCATTCAAATACAGCAATATAAAAGGGAATATTCATAAAATAATTTATATGCATAATAAAATCAAAACATATTTAGAAATTCATTAATTAGTTTTTTTTTATTGTTCGTTTTCTTGCACAAGTGAATTGATAAGAGAGTAATAGCACTTCCCTGCATGGACTAGTCATATAGAGAAGTGGGGATTGAGAGTTCCAGCAGTTCTTTACCCAAACATCCCTGTCTCTAGCAGATCTCCATCAGAAAGATGCCACCACGAACCAAATTACTCCATAGATTCCTTTGTCAACCTCTTCGGTACGGCGTCCATTTCGTGACTACTTTAGACCACACGTTGTCTTTACACGGTAGAAGTTCAGCCCGTTTCCATTTGGTTTCCCCTGCCATCAATTGGCCTGTTTCTTCCTCGAGCTTCATCTACTTTACCATTTTCCTTTCGTAGCTCTAATTGTTTCAAAACACTCAGGTGATTTCACCGTATAATTCGAGCCATAAATTAAAAAAAATCGTTAAATAACTTTTAGTAGACTACCTAAACACATAACCCTCGTGTCGCTTCTCCTAGTAAAAATATTGCGTAAGGGCTAAAATGACACGTAAGTGGTCAAAAAGCTGGCACTATTATATATTGTAAATAAACAGATATTTAAAATTCAAGCAATCCGTGGTGGTCATATGTAGACAAACCAATTAATAAAAACCTAAAAATGGAAACTACATCTTCAGAAAATAGAATATGTAATTGAAATTCATATTCAAGATACTCTTGTAATCATGACATAAAAGAAAACTTAAAGATTCAAACTGTAGAAAGGTGAAAATTTAATGGCGAATAAGCTTTGGGTGAAAATTTTAGAGAAAGTTTTGTGACGAAGAGGAGAATCTTAAAATAAGAAGAATCTTCAGCAGTTTTGGACAGAAAAGGACTTGGTACATCGAGGAGGGAGAGCAGAGCTGTAATAGGCAAAGAGGTTGCCAAGGCCCATTACGAATATGAAACCGCAAGAGGAGAAGCGATACCATTGCCGTTTCCACTGCACTGGATATGCATTTTCACAACCAGATTTCCCAGTCGATGAAGTCTTATTTTTATTTATATCTTTAGCGATAACCGTACTCAAAATGAATAAAATACCGAAGTTAGTAATAATTTAATAAATATTATAATCTTGTTTAGGGCTCAATTAAAGTTAATTTATGGAATGCACAAAAGCAATACTGTATCTGTGATAAGGTTTAAAAATTATTATATCTTAGTTTAATATCTTCAAATCGAGAAAATATTTTGCTTTACGAAACTTTAATGTCCAATCCGCGTAAAATATTTCAAAGAGTTTCTATTACACGTAAATAAATCATTTGGGAACCCCCAGACCAGACTGAAACGACTAGAAACCGCCCGACGTTTTCGACTACTGCAGCACTTACTAGACAAACGCTCTTACTAGACAAATTGAGCTTTGGGGTTCCACTAAACCATCGATTTCCTCTCGCATCCGATTCTTACAATCCAAAATCCTTCGTAAAATCCTCAACGCTCCTAACTTTGTCACAAATAAAATCATCCATAAAGACCTTAATGTTAATGTTTGGCCAAATCCAGAAACCTATCCTTCCATAACAAACTGCAGAACCATCCGAATCCTCTCGTTTCAAACCTTGCTTCCTCCTCGATCCTTGATAACCCTCCGAGACGTCTGAAAAGAAGATGGCCTCGGGACCTTCTAATATAAAACTTTAATTTGAGTTCTACCAATGAGTAGTTTCTCTGCATATTGTACATGCCATGTTACCAATGTCACATTTACTTGTTGTATTTTCCACGTAATACAGTTGTAAATTTCAATACAAAAAATAAAAATAAATAAATAAAATAAATCATTTTAAAAAATCCATTGTTAAGATTTCTTCATTTATTTATTATCACTCGCAGAGGTGCCCAGAATGGGATTACATAACGCCACATAATTTTTTTATGAGAGCATATTTTACAGGAATTTTGAATTTTTGAAGGGGACACATTTCACCAAGGTCAAATTTTCGGACTGAAACAATTTCAGCCGGAGATACGGGAAAAACATTGAAGGGACCATAGTAAGTGTAATTGTATATTTTTCACATTTTTTTCTATTTCTTCTTTCACTTGCATCGTTTTTATGAACAGGAGAACAATAATATTTCTTGTAAAGGGTAGGGAGGAGATTTCTGTGCCACCGATCTTTGGGGATGTGCACCCTGATCATTCGTACATAAGAGATAGATCTTTGAGGTTTGAATCACTCTAGTTCTATGAAGAGAAAGAAGAAGAAGAAGAAAAAAAGAAAACAGTAAAGTAGGAAAAGTAAGAAGAGCGAAGAGAGCTGGAAAACCGCAATACTAGAACATCTGACCTCAACGGAAGGCAGATAAAAAGTGCTGTAATGTCTGGGAGGTATTAATGTAAAGGTAATGGCGATGCCGAGTCATCTTTCCTCGAATCTTATCCTTCACATTTTCTATCTCTATGTCTAGCAACAACTAGCAGCAACTATTTTCCTTATTTATTTCTCGGAATAGTCCGAGGTGCAGACCCCCTTTCATCAAATTATTAACATCCGCCTAAAACTTCGTAAATGTCTTCATCTTATCGTAACCTACAAATATTATATTTACGAAAATTCTAGTAAATGGTGCATTTGTAATCTGCAGATCGGTAAAGTTTGTCTATTTAATGAGGTACTAAAAATTAGTGAATGTCCATTTGGTTTCCTCTTGAATCGTAAGATAATTTGATCACAAAATAATAAAAAAAGGCGCCCTTTAAAAATATTAGGCCATTTGGCCTTATCTCAAACCGAAGTAAAAAATAACGAGGTTATAACAGGCCAAACCACCCAATGTATTTATAGGGCACGATTTTTATCGATATTGTGAACAAATTACCTTACGATTCAAGCGGAAAACAAATGGGAATTGATGAGCTTGAACCATTGAATTAGTTAATTTGATGTCCCATTTCTGAGAATTTTGGTAGATAAAAAGTGAGTTCTGAAATTTTTTTCTGATAACAAAGATTTGTAGTTCGCACATCGATAAAACTTCAAATACGAATTTTCATAGAAATGGTAAAATAAAACTGTTTTGCTTCAAATGTTCATCATCCCTTAAGCTCTGGATGGAAAGATAGATGTTGATGAGTGATGTATCAAACGAAAGATAATTTAATGCAGAAGTGAGAAATCATAGTCACATACCACCGAAATTTCAGGGAAAAATGTTGTGATGGAAAAGAAACTTTATCTGACTTTATAAAGAAACTTTATAAATACAATATTTAAAATAGTGTTTTTAAAATGGTATTTAATTAATTACAAGGTAATTAAATTGTTTTAAGAAAATATACTTAAAGTATTTTTTATGTTAATTTTTAAAAAAATACGAAATACTTTCTTGTATACGTTCAACATATCGTCAGCATTTATTTTGTGTACTTAAAAAAAAAAAATATTTTAGTATATTGAAAATAAAATATAAATACTTTTTTTGTATTTTAAAAAGACAATACAGTTACAAACAATCTATTTTACAGATCTCTAGTTCTTGTCTAGATTTCCAAACGATAATCCTGAGGATTACCCCCATGTTTGGGCCAAAACGTCTATAACCCAATAAAAATATCTTGACAGAAAATCCTGAAAAAATTTTGTTTTTGTTGAATTGATCAGTTGACTATTTAACTATTGCTAAAATCTATTTTAGTATTTAATTTTTAAAATGATAAATACAAAAGATTTATTTAATGTTGTATTTTAAATTCTTTATTTGAGATAGTGTTAAAGTCTGAAATCGAAGGCACACTAGTAGTAAGTGTTCGACTGCTTGAGTCTATTGTTATACTTTTGGCATGATATACCCGTGTGTTAAGAGGCTATGGCCAATTCGTATTCGGTACAAGGTATTTGGAATAAATATATGTATATATATAGTTTAAAATATATAAAATACGATGATATGTTTAATATATAATCATATATCTTAATGCCATAGCCAAGGCAATTGGATATGTACTTCACATTTAGGAAAATAAAGGAAGGTGGTAAACGCTTCTTTGAAGAAAGAACGATTGTAAATGACATTATATTGACTCAATATTATTGATATGTATGAGGGGCCCCTTCAATTTATTTCCTTCAATATTATTGACCGAGTAAAAGACTCTTAAGAAAGAATCCCACGGCTGAGGGATGGTGCAGCCCAGTTGCATCGAGGATGACAGGCGCTTGGTTCAACCCAATCTCATTAATAATGTATGATCGGGTATTTATACAGGCGGAGGAACCCGACGATATTTACTCTGCGATCAGGGTCAGGCGGGCTAATATTGTCAATGTAAGTGGAAGGGGGGGGGGAGGGAAGCCGAATGTCAGGAAGTGTGCCCAACCTGTTCGTCTCGCGTGCACGGAGGTCGCGCTGCGATCGGGGTCAATGTCGTGCATAAATAATGAAACAGTCAACAGCGGAATGAAAGGTGCACTGTCGAAGGGGGAGAGAATGCGACAGTAAGAGTCCACTTCAGGGCCCTTCCCAGTTGATAACTGTCGCGTGTTTGGGAACCGGAACGAAGTGCTTGTTCTCATTGGTTAACCCTTACGATAGAGCTCACACTATTTATTGGTTAATGCCAATCAATTCTACTGCATTTTTTAGAACACTTACGATAGAGCTCATACTATTCATTGGTTATTGTCAATCAATTCTACTGCATTCTTTAGAACACTTACGATAGAGCTCATACTATTCATTGGTTATTGTCAATCAATTCTACTGCATACCTTAGAACACTTACGTTAGAGCTCACACTATTCATTGGTTATTGTCAATCAATCCTATTGCATTCTTTAGAACACTTACGATAGAGCTCACACCATTGATTATTTGTTAATGTTTTCTTTTGCAATCGGTGTTTCTAG